TTTGCACAGGCACAGTCTAGTGCATCCTTAACATGATGTATATACTCAATTTGGCACAGCCCTCCCGGTTGGCCCTCTGCTCAAGGAAAGTCAACATTGTTTGCCCCATAGCTCATGCTACGCTCGCTTGCTCCGCCCCAAATTCTGTGCCCTCATACCTGGGGGTATGCTGGATAGATTGTATATACTCAATTCCGAACATATGCCCTCAAAGAACATTGGGAAGTTATGCTCCTCCTCATCTGCGCACTTTTCCCCCCTTCCAAGCGCCCATTTCTGATCCGACTGTTCTGAAACTTTGTACATACCTCAATATAGTGTATTGCTACCCCTCAACGAGTTTTCAAAGCCCCAATCCAAGGGAATATGCAGCAATGCACCAATATAGGTGCAGCCGCTTCCCAGGGCTGTAGCTCCAAAACCGGTCCGCCGATTTTGCTAATATTCTGCACAGGGCCTCTCCTATATGATATGTACATGCTCCCAAAATATTGGAGCGAAATTCCAACCCTGCTCTGTGAGACCTCTCCCCAGAATGAGTCTAGATATCATGTCTTCCCCGGCCGCACGATGCCGGGGTGATGGGGCATCGCATCTTGCCGGATCAAGATGTGCGACGATGTCGGGACGCTAAGTAATCAGTATTTGATCATCGGATCATGTATCCGTTGTCTCATGGCCGGGGGCTGCGCCCCCGGCGGCCGTGTGTCAGCAACAATCACACAAGGATCTATCCCGTAGTTCCGGGACCTTGTGGCTGAACCTTATCGAAAGAACTAAGCAGGACCTGATGAGACTGTATAAAAGTCGAAACAGGATGGGTTGGAGTGATCTCCATCCCCTGTTGTCCTATTCGCCTCCCCACTCGTCGTTGTCGTCGCACACCTCGCTTCGCTCGGTGTGCTCCCCTCCCTAACCCTTATGCAGATTATCATATACACGAGCTGTTGAAGTAGCCAATATACACCCTCATTCCTGTCTAGCCATATGGGAAGTCTGTGACCTCTGTCAGTCTCTGCAAAGTCTAACAACCTCTATAGCAAAGTCTAACAACCTCTATAACGTCTGTAAAGCTCTGTGATGTCTTAATGGATCTGGGCAATCTTCTTAGTGTTTTTAGAGCTCTAAGAACTGCATGCACTTTACTGATGCGGTCAATTGGTTTTGGGGGAGTGTACTGAGTGTAAACCTGCATGGACGGCGCCGGCATATACGGCTCGTGCAATACACGTTGATAGGTGGGCGTGGACGGCTGCTGCCATTCATTGGAGATAAATGGGGGACCGTCCCGTGACTCTGAGGTTGGCAGAGGAGTGCGGGGCCTGACAGGCGTTCCGGCGCTCCCAGGAGCTGAGCGTAAGTCGTGGCCGACGGACGACACCTGAAACAGACGCTGCACACGGAGTTTCTCCAGCATGCCGTCGACGTCGTCGAAGAGCTCGTTGCAGTCGCGGATGAGTCCACTGGGTCGAGGATGCAGGAACCGCCTCCATCCCAACTCCCGCCACGTGTGAGTGACATCCACCGAGAGCCCATCGAGCCGCGACTCCCTGAACCTGATCAATGATGGTGAAGGAAGTCAATACTCAATACCGGGCTCCGACGACTGCTACATGCGAGTACTCACTCAGTAAGTAGCTTGTCCACACCGGCGGCGTTCTCGACAGTGCGCCCGCTGTTCCTGAGTTGCTTCATATACGTTTCGGCCTCCTTGAGACTATCATCGATTGCCTTCAAGCGTCCGGGGGGGAGACGTGGTGCCACGGCGAAGTGCCACACAACGCTTAAGCTCGTCGCGAATGAAATGATCGTGAGCACAAAGCCCGTGAGATCGATGGGGTCGTCCGCCATGGTCACGATGAAAGCGAGTTGTATGACGACGTGCGGGTCGGGGAATACAGCAGCACAGCGGGGCGACGAGCGCGCTGAGAGTGCGAGAGGACAGAGAGGAGGTACGTCCGTGCGCGACGCACCAGTGCACACTTGATATACCGCACACTTGGCATGACTGAGGCGTGGTGATATGCTCTGAACACGAGGAAGTAGGAAACGGGAGTCTCATGAGTTTAAGTGGACGTCGGCGCAAAGAGGCTATGCACCTGACCCTCGGCGGCCCCGTTAACATTCAGCGCCCGTTGACATTCAGCGCAGGTATAATGCCGGCACAACGACCCCCAACATCCAACCAGCGCGGCGTGTATGGATCTCTTCATTGATACAGCGAACGACACGCCTCCCCAATCGAACGACGATACAGCACAGCGCAAAGAAAGCGAACGCAGGCGGCGAATCACGAGAGGGCAAGACGCGGGCACAAGACACAGATGACATCAGAGATACGAACGCGGTGGCTTCAAGACGGGTAAAACGCGGGGACGGGGGACATTACAACACGGACCACGTAGGAGAGAGGTACTAGTATGATACCGCAACAACAGGGGTAGATGCGCCATGTTTACAGATCGTGTATGGGTTGGGATGCGAACATCGCGAAAGCGGGGGCGGCGGCAAGCGTGGGCGCGAGCGCGAACACGCGCGGCGGAGGAAAAGAGGGGCAAGGCGGGAGGCGGAGGCGGAGGCGGGGCGGGGCGGTCATCTAAGCAAAGGTCCTCGGGGAGATTCATGACATGCTACAAGGGAAGAATACACTGCAACGTTACAACCCAGCTTGCGCGTTCGTCGTTTACTCTGCCGCTACGGGCACCGCGCTGTTGTCGTCCGGCCCTGCGAGCGCGCCCTCGGGCACGACGCCGTTCAGCGCGCGGTCGCCGACCTGGTGGAAATCTGTCGCGCGAGGGTCAGCATCGTTCACGCACGCGACGGGTAGCGAGGCGTACCAAGGATTTCGCTGTACATCATGACCTTCCAGGTATCGACGGGGAGGTCTGCGTCGTTGAAGCTCCAGTCAAACTTCTCCGCCGCTTCTGGCTCGTCGGTGGGGTCGTGGTACGGCGCGACGTACTCGTGCCCGAGCGACTCGGTCGCCGTGATGCGTTTCCTCGGGTCGAAGACCAGCATCTTCTCGAGGAGATCGACGGCTGTAGCGGGACTGCATAAGGCAGGGAACGCGAAACGAGCGCACGCGACAGGACGTACCGACGGGGTCGCTGTTGGTTAGCTTCTCCTGGAACGGCACGCGTTCGCGCTTTGGTAGGCTCTGCACGAACCGAAGGGTCTGCAACACGAGGCGCGGTGAGCTCGCGCGCTTCACGGTGGGCGCGGACCGCGACTTACGTTCTCACTGGCGATGGTCTGGATGACGTCCTCCGGGGGCGTGCCGAGGAGTTCTGTGATAATCGAAAACTGGTGGACGTCTGCGCGCGATCGGAGATCAGACGAGATCAATGACGTCGCTGGCAACGGAAACGACGTACGGTCCTTGCCCGGGAAGAGCGGCTTGCCCTCGAGCATCTCGGCGAAGATGCAGCCCGCACTCCAGATGTCGACCGCGACGTCGTACTTTTGCCATGTGAGCATGATCTCGGGGGCGCGGTAGTAGCGCGTGGAGACGTAGCCCGTCATTTGAGGGTCTTGTATGCGCGCGAGACCAAAGTCGCAAATCTAGACAGGCGACGTCAGAGACCATGGGTCAGGCACAGCAGGTCAAGCGCGGGCTGACCTTCAAATCGCAGTTCTCGTTGATGAGAATGTTGCTCGGTTTCTGTGGAAGGGTCAGGTCCCGAGCGCGGACAGAGCACAGAAGCACGTACGAGATCGCGATGTACGACGCCAGCAGAGTGCACATATTTGAGGCCGCGCTGAAGACAAAATGAGCGCGAGTTTGACGAAGACGGCGGGGAAACTTACCAAGATCTGATAGAGGAAGTATTGTATGAATTGCTTCTCGAGAGGTCGCGAGGTGAGCAGTCGGTGGAGATCAGTGCCGAGGAGCTCGGTAACAAAGTAGCTGCAGGTGGCGTGAGCACGGGCGCGATGAAGCGAAATGGGAGACGGACATATCCTCGAGGGGGGAGATGAAGACGTCGCTCAAGCTGATGATCTGCGGGTGATGGTTAGAGACGGGCGACGGTCGTGAGCGCGGAGACGTACATTCTCGTGCTGTATGTGCTTGAGCAGCTTGAGTTCGCGGTATGTGCGCTTGGAAAGGACTGGGGTCGAGAACGGCTTCATGATCTTCTTGATCGCGACAGATGAGCCTGTCAGCTGGTCCTTTGCGGAACTGATTGGACGCTGCGATGAGCCAATGCGCTGGGGTGCTCTGTGCGTTCAGGCACATACCAGACGAGGCCGAACGCGCCTAGACGGGGAGCGGGTCAACTAAAGGCCATCCAGCGACGACGGGGACGACTCACCCATTCCGACGGGCTGGAGGTCGACATATCTGGTGGTGACCTACGCGAGCGCGCCATCGTTCGCATCAGGAGTGAGGGGAGGGAGGAGGGAAAGAACGGACCTCGAAGGAGGTGCCGAAGATGCTGAGTTTGACAAAAGACATGTCGTTGACGCGCGCTGGGAGCACCGTGCGTTGCTCGTGAGTTCGTGAGGGCTGTGGCTGGAGCGAGACGGCAGGTGGATCGGAGCGGCGGCAAGGGCAGGAGGAGGAGATGGAGGGGAGAGGAGAGGGGAGAGGGCGAGGAGGAGGAGACGGGCGACACATCCGGGTCATCGCTTATCTAAGTTGCCTTCCTAACCCTACCGCCTTCCTCAAATTCTCCTTTTCCTCTCTCCACTCGCTCGCTCTTCCCTCCGCCCGCCGTCCAACCGCCCGGGCCCTGTACCTGTGCCTCCGACCCCTCTCCCCTGTTTTTCTCTGGATTTCTCTTGGGCGTCCTGGGTTGGTAGAGAGGGACAAGACATGGAGAGCTGCTAGGGTTAGGATGACGTCGGTGGCACTCGCTCGCGTCTCGCCCTTCGCCCTCTGACGCTCGTCCAAAGAAGCCCCGCCCTGCGTTCTCTCAAGCACACGCGCGTAAGTGTCCTCACGCTTGCAATCATGCATACTTCCGCCGCGCTGGACTCGCGAGCACGACGGCCGACGTGCAGAGGAGGGCGGGTTTGGGACGAGGGAGGACGTGCCGACGCGCGACGCGTCTGGGCGTCTGGCGTCTAGCACGTATTGCTAACCGACGCTGAGCTCATCCTCCCTCTCCCCACTCTCTTCCACTCTCCCATCTACCATGTCCTTCGTCCGCGCCTCCCTCTCTGCTCGCACCGCCGTACGTCGCTTCCCTGCAGCACTCTGAGGCTCATCTGACGCCCTGTAGCTCGCCAATGCGCGCCGCTACTCGACCGAGCCCGCGGCCGCCAAGAAGTCCTCCAACCTTCCCTTCTACCTCCTCGGCGGCGGTCCGTTCCCTCCCATCTGCATTCGCAAACCTCTGCTCATTCTCTACAGGTGTTGCCGGCCTCGCGGGCTATCTCTACCTCGACCGCGCAAACGCCGCACCCGTCAAGCCCAAGATCTCCGACAAGAGCCCCCTCGACCCCCAGAACTTTGTAGATTTCAAGCTCAAGAAGGTCGAGCCCTACAACTACAACACCGCCAAGTACGTCGTCTTCTCCTCCACCCTTGTCAAATGCTGATCCGCCCAGGTTCATCTTCGAGCTCCCGGCCGACACCGCCTCGCTCCTCCCCGTCGCCTCCTGCGTCGTCGTAAAATCCGCCGCGGACACCGCCACGCCCCTCCTCGACGACAAGGGCAAGCCCGTCATCCGGCCCTACACCCCCATCTCCCCCTCCGACAAGCCCGGCGAGCTCACCTTCCTCATCAAGAAGTATGAGACCGGCAAGATGTCCAAGTACTTCTTCGAGCTCAACCCCGGCGACAAGCTCTCCATCAAGGGCCCCATCCCCAAGTTCGAGTACAAGAGTCCGTGCTCGCCATTCTCCTACTCCGTGTGTACCCTGACACCCCTGCAGTCAACCAGTTCGAGCAGGTTGGCATGATCGCAGGCGGCAGTGGCATGTACGTCCCCCGCATTGTCTCCTCGCATGCGTCTCTTTAAACCAAACCCCACAGCACGCCCATGTACCAGATCCTCGACTACGCCCTGCAGGATCCCTCGAACAAGACGCGCTTCACGCTCATCTTCGCGAACGTCGCCGAGAAGGACATTCTTCTCAAGGAGGAGTTCGATGCGCTCAAGGCAAAGTACCCGAAGACGTTCAACGTCGTCTACACGCTCGACAAGCCCAGCGCCGGCTGGACAGGTACGCCTCATCAACTCCGTTTGGCTTAGTCGCAGCTGACCAGCATGCGGCAAGGCACGACCGGGTACGTGAACCAGGAGCTGGTATCGACGCACCTCCCAGCAGCAGCCCTCGGAGACAAGGCGAAGATTTTCGTCTGCGGTACGTGTCTGTATCCCCACGCCGCAACGTACGTGCTCACGAACCCTCGCAGGCCCTCCCGGACAGGTCGCCGCAATCTCTGGCCCGAAGAAGGGTTACCAGCAGGGCGAGCTCGGTGGTATCCTCAAGCAGCTCGGCTACACGGAGGAGCAGGTGCGTCCGACGCCGACATTCCTGTGTATTCGCGTGCTGACTGCCGTTCGCAGGTGTTCAAGTTCTGATGTAGACTTCCCCGCTGTTGTATCTTGAATAGACAGACAACCTAATGTTTCGGTGCCGACGTGGAGCGGGTGTATGCTGAGTTGAGAGCTATTCTGAGCGAGGTACGTCTCCTCCATGTTCGCGGCCAGACGCGGCTGCTCGGAAGCGCGTGTCCCTGCGCAGGAATGACGTCATCCGCAACCCTCGATAACCCTCCTCGTCGGTCCGTCCCTCTCTTCCGTCCTCCCTCACTGCATGGTCCTCCTCGCCCGCACATCTCTCCCCCTCCTCGCCGCCTCCCTCCTCTCCCGCGCCGCCTCCCCCGCCCTCGCATCCACCACCCTCATCACGCCCCAGTGCCCCATCAGCACGCTCTCCGCCATGTCCGCCCCATTACCCTCCTCCCCCGAGTTCCTCCAAGACAAGCTCTCCACGCTCCTCGCCTCCCCGCACATCCACTTCAACGCGCCGCCCGCGGGCGGGCCGCTGCACATCCGCATGGGCCACGGCCCCGTCGATCTCTTCAGCACGCGCTTCCTCAACTTCTTCACGGCGGACGCGCGCGGGGTCGTTGGCGGGAAGGAGGTCGACCACGACGGGCTGAAGGACGCACTGCTTGCGCTGCAGAAGAAGTGGAACCCGCAGGAGGCGAGCTTCGAGGCGCAGAGCGAGGCGGCTAAGGTGCGTGTATGCGCATATATGCAGGTCGTAAGACGGATAATAACTGGGGAGTAGCCGACGACGAAGGTGCTGTGGGCGCGCAAGGATGGGGGCCACCAAGCGGCCGTGACTGCGTCTGCCGAGTGAGTCGTTCGCTCTCTGGATGCGCGACCGGGACTAACAATCGCGCAGAGTCAAGGAAGAGGGCGGTGCGCACCGTATCAGCCACCTCACTCTCGACGGCGATGAATCCCTTTTCTCGTCTTAAGCTTTGCTATAGCATTCGAGTCCGCGAGCAGTACTGTACGATAGACTCCTGTATTCTGTAACATAAGCCAGTGTTATTCTACGTTCTACGTGATCACAACGCGTGGAAATGGGATGTATAGTACTCGTACATAGGCAACAAGGTCAACTACGTATACACCGTTCGCGCGCGGGTATACACACGCGATCGCAAGAGCCAGTCTGTGCGCATGCTTCTATGAGCGCCACAGCAGCCGCACGATTTTGTCTCTTGACCACCATGTCCGGTTAGTTCATTACGTCTCGTGCGACAGGATTAATCAATAACGCGTGGCCATTATGTAGGTCGAGGTGCATACTATAAGCAGCTCTACGGCGGTGGTCGAGGGCGCGGTCGTGGTGGCGGAGGCGGAGGTGGCCCCAGCAGCCTTCCCGATGATTCCTCAGCCCACAATTCTCGCGGAACGAAACGCCCTCATCCAGGTGGTACGCTCACGCTTACGTGGGCTCGACGTGGGCTCATTTTCAGTTAACGCAGACAACCAGCAGGGTTCGCGCTCGTCCGAGGACCTCCTTCGCATCGCGCGCTCGCTCGGCGGGAAGAACTACCCCGCGTACCGCGATCTTCAAGGTACGATGCGCCTTGCTAAGTTACTACGGAAATAAGCTGATCTCATCCTCATGTAAATGTGTAGGTGCATGGGACTACCCCACGTTTCGCCTCTACGTCGATCACGTCCAGAGCGACCCATATGCACCACCCAGCAAGCTCCGCGTGCGCATCCCGCACTCCGTCGCGCGCATTCCGCAGACCTTGTGGTCTAACAAAATCCGGTAACGCACCACTTCACGCATACAACGAGCCCCGGTGACTAAACACTGCGTGCAGGACTGTCGCGCTTCGCGATTACCTCACGCGTCGAGTGTGATCCGCCCTAGACAACACCGTCAGCGGACGCCGCGAGCAGCAGCAAGGCGGCTGGGCAAGCGAGAAGGGCGGCGAGGTCAAAGTCGACCGACCAGGCCAACAAGTCCTCGAGCGCACCTCTGTCGTGCTGACATCAGAGGACAGCGAGCATGGGGCAGGCGTAGAACTCCGGTGCTGCGTTGGTCTTCCTGCTCAAGGTTAGTAGTCATTCTTGTAGGTCCCTCGCGATATCCGGGCTTATCATCCCCGTAACGTAGGACGCACGATTCTGGGCGACCAGGCTCTACGCGTATTCTCTTCGGTCATTCCGGCACTCGCTCAGAACCTGCTATACGCCTCGCACGACGCTAAGCACATCTCGGATTTCATCGACTGCATAGAGGACCAGGAGGACCTCCGAGCACAAATCACCGCAGCTGGTTTGCATTTCCGCTTCTCCATCATAATTTACATATTCGCCTCCTACATACTCGCTAGGGCTCGTCGCGTTCGTCCCCAATGGTGCAATCCTGCCCCGCACGAGCGGGGCCTCCGACATGCCTATGGCATCCCCGAACGTCGTCGCGTTCCAGTCGCCTACCCACCTCGAAAGGACGTTCGTTCTACCCCATCGCGGCCAGATCACAGGGATAGGCATCCCTAAGGGCGTCACGATGATAGCGGGCGGTGGATTCCACGTACGATCTCCGCGCGCACACCGATCTTCAACTCTGACGTTTCCTCAACTTCAGGGAAAGTCGACACTCCTCGACGCGCTCGCACGGGGCTGCTACAACCACGTCCCAGGCGGTACGCTCTCCAACACAATATTCAGACAGCAGTGCCGAAAAACTTATGCATCCTCAGACGGACGCGAATTTCTCGTCACCTCAGCCCATTGCGTCTCCATTCAGGGCGAAGACGGCCGCGCAGTGACGAATGTCAACATCTCGCCCTTCATCACCAACCTCCCCGGTGGAACGTCCACTACCTCGTTCTCGACGCAAGATGCAAGCGGTAGCACGTCCATGGCCGCAGGAGTCATCGAAGTACGCTCGCTTCCTCTCCTACTTGCACAGCAAATACGCCTTATCATACGCCGCAGGCAATCGAGCTCGGCGCGGACACTCTTCTGTTCGACGAAGATAGCTGCGCGACGAACTTTCTCATCCGCGACCGCCGGATGCAGCACCTCATCGCGGCAGACCCGATCACACCGCTCGTGTACAAGGCACGTATATGACTAACTCGCACCTTCCAGCAGCGGACTCATAGCGGTATTGCATCTAGGTCCGCGCGATGCTCGCTGACCACAACTGCTCCTCCATCCTCGTCATCGGCGGATGCGGTACGTTCATGCGCGTCCGTCGTTCTCCACAACCACTGAGCCGCGAGATGGATCAGGCGACTATTGCGACGTCGCGGACCTAGTTCTCGAGATGCGCGATTACCGGTGCTACGACATCACAGCGGCAGCGAAGCAGATCGCGCAGGAGATTCCTTCAGCTGTACCGGAGCATGAAGGTTAGTCGGCCTGCCAATCTTGTATGCTCTCGACGCGGGCGACCTCACTTAAGTGGGTACCCGAACTTTCAGCAACCCACTTCGGGACCGTCCGCCCTCGAAATCTACAGACGAAGTCGCTGCCCTCCAGAGACACAAAGACCACCGTCCGGAAACGCACCGCGATAGAAGTCGGCGGAGAGACACTCGACCTCTCCGCCCTCGCCCAGCTCGTGCACGATAGCCAGACCCGCGCCATCGCAGCGGCGCTCAAGCACATTCACCACACCCCGACACCCCGCGCCCACCTTCACGAAGTCCTGCAAGACCTCGACGCCTCACTCGACTCCGCGGGGCTCGACACACTATCGCAAGAAGACCGCATCGACGGCTTCCTCGCGCGCCCCCGCCCGCTGGAGCTCGGGATGGCGATCAACCGACTAGTACGTGGCGATATCCAATATACGCTCCGATAAGCAGTCCAAGAACTAATGGTAACATTCGGTGACAGCGTACGGTCTCGATAGGATACAGTTGATGGCCTTGTCCATGTGTGTGTGCGGCGTTCGTAGCATATACAATGCGGGGGCAAGAATAAGATTAGTCTGCACGTATGTTCCTCATTCCTCCTCGACCATCTCCGGATTAAACCGGTGCACGGTCTCGATCGCGTCGCAGTCCTTCCGCACAAAGACCAGCTAAGAGAGCCATTAACATCCGATATGAATGCCCAGATTGCGTGACGTACCATGTACGGGTTGGCTGTCGATCCGGTGGTATCAGCGAGAACCTCATCCTTCGCGACCGCCGTGACGTCCGAGTCGTTGTACTTGAACCATGCGTCGGGGTTGCTGGGGAGATTGCGAGAGTAGAAGAAGTAGTGGCCCCACGACGGGGACGATCCGCGATGTATGAAAACGGACGTCAACTCGTACGCCGCGGACTGGTCGTCCTTCCAAATGTCCTCAAGCTGCTGCTTGAGCTGCACAGTCCGCTCGCGCTCGACGCGTAGCTGCTCCGTGACGAGCTTCTCCTCGTTCTGCAACGACGTGACCAGCGCGTCATCTGCAGGCAACTCGAAGGCTGTCTGTTTCGACAAGAAGTCCGCGACGTTGGTGAGCGCGGGGGCGAACGGGGCATTCTATGGAGAGATGAGAGGTCGGATGTATACGAGTGTATGGATCACATACTGGACCATGGGTGAGCTTATACACGCGATCCCGCGCGGTGGTAAGCTCCGCTTGGATCTCCTTCGAGCGCGCCTTCTTCTCCGGGCTCACGCTGTCCATGAAACGATCCATGTAGATCGTCTCTCCAAACTTGACGTACGCTTGCGACTTGTACGCCTGCTGCGTCTCGCGGTTGAATTGGACACGCTAGATAATGATCAGATCGAACGCCATGACGCAGATGTACAGTACATACCTGCAGCTGGATTTGGAGCAGTGGTGGTAGGTCCACCAGCGACACCTCCATCCGCTTCTTCTGCCCGACCAACTCGACGACGTCGTCGAAGTACCGCGCCAGCCCATCGTAGATATCGAAGCCCTCGTCCGCAACGTTCACGTGTAGATGCGAAAAGAGATCTTCCTTCTCATGTATCGACGACTGGTGGGCAGCGTCATCCGTTGGTGACAGAGACGTCAAACGCTGCCGCTTCTTCCCATAGAACAGCCGTTTGACGGGACTTGTCTTGTCGTCGTCGTCGGTCGCCATCCCTTGGAAGTCGAGGAGAGCGGTCTCGATCTGGAACATGCAGTTATCCATGCATTCAGACACATCGTGTTGACGCCCTGCACACTACATCAATTGGGAACGCTTGCAAGTGAGCATCTGAGCACATACCGAACATCATGACCGATTCGTCCGTCGGCCGTGGTTTCCGCGGAGGCAAAGGCGGCGCCTTCCCGGCTTGGGACTCATCCTTCATCTCCACATCCACCGGCGACTCCGCCACTGGGAGCTTCGAAGACGATGCGACCGCGTCCTGAGTGGTTTCCGTCGTGTCAGACGCTGTCTGCGGCGGACTCGCCCCACGCTTCGCCGCCTCTACGCGTTCCGTCGGGCTTGCCACGCGCGGCGCATCGAGGTCCATGCCCGACTCGCCATCCCTGGAGCGCTTTCCGAGCACGCTCCCCGTCGGGCTCTGGCTCTGGAGGGGTGATGACGGCGCGCGGTCGTACGCGGAGCGGGGCGCCATATCGTCAACGAGGGTCGCATCGGTATCGTTGGAGGAGTCGGTGCCTGCCTTGTCTGCTTCGTCCTCCTCTTCGTCCTGCGTCGTCACTAGCGCGAGCTTAGCGAGCTCGATCTCGGGCGTGATCGCCGGGTTCTCGCAATACTCCATGTTGAAGAACAACTCTGCGAGCAGATTCACGACTAGAGGTGAAGTGAAGCGTTCAGCGTGACAAAAGGGTTGGGTAAAACTTGTAAGCACGCACACTTCTTGGAGCGCATGATTTCTCGTCGAGTGACGAGTCGCCCGCCAACCCGATGCCGCTTCAAGTCGTCGTCAGTGAACTTGCTATCGTCGAGCGTCTTGGCGTCCGCATGTGCGAGAGAGGTGATCGCCGCACGAAGGTCCTTGATCGTGTAGAAGTACTGCATACCCGCGGTCAACGGATGCTGCAAACAAAACGATGAATCGCTCGTACCTGGAGCAACGAGTTCAGATAGCAGGTGTTGCCAAGCTGGTTCAGACCTCGGGGCATCTCAGGACTCGTGTTGGTGACCGTACTGTCCCCCGCTTGGACCGCGAGTCAGCACACGCACACAATGCATATCCAGAGATCGTGACTTACGATCCTGACCCGTAGCCAGGAAGTGACGCAGCCGGTCGCTGTTCGTCACTTCTGCAATGACGCTCAACGCCTCCCGCATCCGCTCCGCTTGACTGGGCTGGTCTTCGACCTGCAATTTACAACCGTTTAGCTGCGCTGACAACCCCAACGACAATCTTACGAACCCGCATGGAGTAAACAGTGAGTAGCATCGATTCCTCCATATCGCGCGGAACCTCGAGCGTTGAGTACGCCGTGTCCGGCGACATCCCCGTGCCCTTCTCCTCGCCCCACACCTTCAGCAACTTCTCGCTCCCCCTGGACTCCGCGACGAGTCTCAGCGCGTCGTTCAGCTTCGCGCGTAGTAGTGTCGCGTCCGCAGGGTTCTGCCACGCTCTCTGCCGCGCGCTGCGCCATGCCTGCGCGATGAAGTCGTCGTCGACGTCCGCGTCGAGCTCGACGCCGAGTTCGCCATCGCGCCCGAACCCGAGCGTCTTCACCGCATCCTGGTAATCATCGGGCGCGAATCGCGAGCGTGAACGCTCCTCGACAATGAGCGACTGTAATTCCGCCGGCGCATCCTGCGCGAGGTGGATCATCGAGTTCACGATCGCCCATAGCTGCGTGAAGTACACCATGGTGTTCGCGGGGTCGCACCGGCATTGCGCGAGGTACGCGAACGCGAGAAGCTCTGCAGACCTATAAGCATCATTGTGCGCGGTCAAGTTCGGTACTGACCCCACGAGTATGTGCTCGGCGTCATGCCTAGGAGTTCCCATGAGTGGTCCAGCTCTGTGTAGCCCTGCATTGGCTCAGGAAGCAGGCCGCGCGCGACTGCGCAGTGTTAGCCAGATGTGTCGATGATGAAACACGGATCAGCTCACTCTGCGAGACGTGCGCGCCGATACCGGTCTGGTACATGTCCCTAGCGCTGTCCGCAGTCACATGCAGCACCATAGGCATATAGTCCCGGAGCGACTCCTCTGCAGAGGGTTCAGTAAAGTCCTACAGCGCATCATCCCGCACCTACTTGACTTCTCGTAGATAGCGAGCCACGCGCCGACCTCGACCCACGCGCGCAGAAGCTTCGCGCGCGAAGCGTTGCCTTCGGGCGTGGCGGGATCGATGGCGGGAGGTTGTAGAGCGGGCTCCGCGGAGGTTGCGCCTGGTTGTATGTCCTCGAGTTCGAAACCCAATGTCTCAAAGACTTGTTGTCTGGAAATAGTCAGCCGGGCCCGTTAAGAGGCCGGAGATACTCACACTATGCCATTCCAGCCCACTTTGCTCCTGAAGCGCGGTCGGGTTATGGGTAGGGAGCGCTTCTCATCTCGCCAAAGGCGATTGTCGATGATACTGTACAATTTGAGTGATCACACGAAAGGAGATGGTCGTCCGACTCACGTTAAGATAGTCTCCCAGCCCGAGATGACGGTGGCCCTGGGCGTCTTATCGACGGCAGGATGGCTAAGTTTGTCGCGCGTGAACTCGTCGACAAGTGAAGTGGGAAGCACACCAGGTATCACATCCGAGGCTAGACAGTAAACAGAGCACTGGCAGCAGAGGTACAGGTCCAAGAGAAGTTCTCCGTGAGTATAGGGAGTGTTGAGCTGCGATGCATCGACAGCGTTCTCATATAGATGCCAGTGGTGAGTAAGGTTGGCCGCGCCGAATGGCTGTTCACCGTCGCCTATGCAAGAGGTGGTGCGTTTACGCCTGGCCTGATCAGGGAGCGGGTTTTTGGGCTCCTTGACGAGAAGTGGAAGAACGGAGGAGGACTTCCACAAAAGAACAACCCAGCCGTTGTGGTCCTTGCAGTAGTACGCGTTTGGATGGGGGATGGCAGTGCGAACCTCGTCCGCGGTAGGCACGTGCGGAGTAGTAGAAGGTGGATGGGGCAGAGTGTTCACCGAGTACAGCGCGTGATTGGGGTCATGAAGGTGGTCGGCGAGGAGGGGCGGGAGAAGACCTGGGCCCGGTCTGAGTGCATGAACGGCAGGATCATACCAATGAGCCTCCTCCCTCTCATCGCGGCCGTCGATGGCGATCTTGCGCGTCGTCCCTGGTTCGCCCCAGTTCTCCACCGTCGAGGTGATCGCGTCCCAGTCCGCTACACCCGACTCTCCCCAGACCGGCGCGGGTTCGCCCCAAGCGGGAGGATCATTCGGAATCGGCTCTTCCTCCATGACAAGCTCGGGCTCTCTGAATGGAGAACGTTCAGGTGGAATGTAGGAGGTGTGGGAAGAGCCTTGCGGTTTATTGGAGCCGTAGAAAAGCGCGGGGTCGATGGACTTGTGGGGAGGAGCGGCGGGAGAGGAGACTGGACGCGACTGGGGTGGCGTCTGTGGGCTTTTGTCCGCCGCAGTCGATCTGCGGCGGAGGCCGGAGGAGGAGGGGGACGGGGAGGCAGCGTCTTGAGTCATGTCAGGCGCAGCGAGGTAGACGTGTGCAGCAGTGTGCTCGTCGTTGGGCTCGACGAGGAAGAGGTGGAGGTGGTGGAGGAGGCGGAGGTGGCCTCGCGTCCAAAGCTCTCTGCTCATCTGCCCCACGTGCTCAGGCACATGTGCCGTTCCATATAAGGCAAGTGCTGTCGTTCAAATGTTGTTCGCGGCCTCGAAGTATTTTGCAAGAATAATATAGTACATGGTTGCAGGCTTGAAATGCTTCTTGGAATAGGTACAATCTAGCACATACATTCTGCCCGTCCCGGCGTAACTGCATGGATATGCACTGTGACATCTTCGTCCTTCCGGAACGTGGCCATAGGGATACCAGCTGGTTGAGTATCGGATATAGTCGAAGTTATAGACTGCGTCTCCGCCGCGGTGGAAGATATTCCATATTCATCATCGCTGAAATGGCAATCATGATTCTCGCACCCCGATACGAGTGTTCGGTCCCTGTCGAATGCGGGGCGTAGGGTTGGGTGGTTGTTCACAACTCGTGTGCCGGTGGAAGGTGTGTTCCCCGGCGGCGGACTCTGGCAACGCCTCTCTCCAATGCGCTTCCACAGTCTTGCAAGGCGCGTAACTCCCGGATCGACCGCGCGCGCGGGATCTTTCAGCACATCCTCAAACGACACCTCCCCGCAGCGAGGGCTCGCGACATTGCGGATGAGCCGACGCGCTACGTCCGCGTCGAGGTCCAGCACGCATGGGTCGAGGTTGGCGAGCCAGGCGTCGCCCCAGTGACTGTTGTAGAGATATGCCAACGCGCCCTCGTCCAGGTCGTTTCCCTCCCTCCTCACTTCGCCCTGCTCTTGGGCCTCCAGCGTGTGCGGTAGGGGAATCGTTGCACTAAGGGCGTTTCCGGCGAGCCACGCCCTCCCTTTGCGCCAGATATATCTCGTAAACGAGATGGCTCCAAAAATGGCACGGGAAAGGGGCGATCTGAACGGGCAGTCTGCCGACACCAGGGGGCAGAACGCGGTCCCGATCCAAAAGACGACCCAAATGATGACGAAGACGTTGAGGACGAGGCGCACGATTGGGTGCAGCGGCCAGGCGAAGAGCACGACGGCGAGGATGAAGAACGCGACTCCGAGCTGGAGGAAGATCGAGATGCCCGATAGGATTTCCTGCATCCGCCATCTCTGCATGCCGAGGTATCGGAACTGGCGCGTGCGCAAGAGCTCGCGCGGGTCGTCCGGGAGATCGCGTGTGTACTCGCGCAGCCATTCTTTGTAGAATATGCCCATCCCGGCCGCGAGGAGGCTGCATATGAGGCTTGCAAATAGAGTAGAGTTGCGCAGGACGTCCGTGAGTGCGGGCTCGAACGGGACGCCCGATCCGAAAACCAGTCCCTCCGTGGCCGACGGGGTAGTGCCATTCAGTTGTGCCGCGATCTGGCGGAGGAGGTCGATAGTGATCATCTTGGGGTCTGGCTGGAGAGCCGTATAGCTCTCTAGGATGAAAGATGTGACGACGGCTGAGAATAATGCCGCCTAGGAAAGGAGTCGGTGCCTAGTTCGGCGTCAGGTAATGTGTGAAGAACGCACGAACGTGACAAGTCCGTCAGCCTGGTCCGCCCATGCCTTGACGAGGTCGCCGTCACGGTCTTGAATCCTGTCTGCGCCGTCGCACCATCCTTCATGTGAGTCAATAACAGCCTCCTCATCGTACGCCTAAGACAACACAGTCAATATGGCTCGCTTCCGATGTACCACTATGAACTCGCCTGTTCTCCTATGAAGGAAAGCCGAACATTTCTGTTCATACGTGTTGACGGTGCGGTGAAGCCCGACTGCAATATATATGTCAGAGAGATGGAGAAGTATTTAAGGCCGCGCATACCTCAAATGTCCCCCTCCGACATGCACTTTTGAGAAAGGCCATTCGGTTGGCTCCGTATACAGAGGGCGTCCGGTGAGTATGACGTACAGGAAGGCTGTGTCTTGACTATATAGTCTTACTAGAAACGATCGCATGCAAGCGCAGGCGAGTAAACAGGCGGATGCCATGAGGACACTAGTCTGCGCGTCGCGTGTGTATGGCCAAAATAGAACCAGAACCCTGTGAAGAGCATATTAGTTCCGTTCTTCACATAGAACTCTACATACACAACTCTCAGGGAACGTAGGGGTTTTGTGGAGGGTTTCGAAGCGCGGCATTGCCGGCACGACGCCCAAGTCAATATGTCAAGTCCACCACGACAACCAGAGCAGAGACCTGCAGTCCGCGCAGCCTGGTTGACATTGCGAACCCGATGAAGCGAGGTTCGATGATCCACTGTAGAAGTCAGAGTTCAACACCGCGGCGCCGGGCTTAACACGAGTCGTGTCCGAGTTTCGAAACGCCCGTTCATATCCGCGCGGTCCACGAAGCCGCGCATCCCGAGACGTGAGCAACACGCGCACTGGCTGCGGCGTGTCACAATGACGTCGCCCAAAAACAAGGATTGCCGTCCACACAAGGAGTGTAAGAACCCCAAGCCGTGTCTAGTGCGTGCGTGCTTGCGGTACGACCCACCGACAGACAGCAACGACGTAAGCACGAGTCGCCGTCTGCCGAATAGCCGTATGCAGGTCCCCATGCACAGATCTTGGGGGGTGCAAATGTCAGCGCAGCGTTACTTCGACGACGTTCGACGACTGTATTTAGAAGGGAGTCATCAGCAGCTGGAGGTAGACGTGCTAGAAAAATACATACGATTCGACCCCGGAAGAACCATATGCGCAGCGTCTAGACACTCTGCTGGGATGGAACACGGGTTAACATCATGGGACTGCGGCGCTGGAGCAATTCATCTCAGTCTACAAGCGGTAGACTGAACCGCGCTTCCCCGAACAGAAGTATGTTACACGATTGCCCATGGATGTCGGGCTCCCTGGACGCGCGGTTCCGCAGCAGGGCTATTCGGGCGGCTGGTTTCCAGCACGCGCTAGCGCGTTTCGAGGACGCGTACATCAAACGGGTGGCGTAGAAGTAAAGCTTCAGACCAGTACACGCGCTTGGCGGATAGCAAGGCGAGTCGCTATATGATCAGGGGGATACGAAGCCCGTAGGACCAGCCGCTCCGAGGTCGGAATCAGAATCGGAGGCCCGGTACATGTCGTTCGATAGAGATGGCGCGGCCAAGTTAAGTAACGTTTGTTTGAATGAGCTTCTTAACGGCGAATAGTTAGATCAATAAGCTGAAGTGTACGGGTAGAGGTAGAGGCCTAGAGCCGCAGGGACGATGGGGGTGGGAGGGAACAACGTGGTGTCCACTTGACGGATCGAGCACAGCGCACCGCCACCACTTCGCCACGCGGCTGCCCTACCGTTCGCCCGACCGCCGCACACCTTCAAGTTGCCAACGTCCACCACTCCACTGCGCCCAACCTCGTCCCTACCATCTAGACCTCGCGACGCACCGCGGCGCTGAATATGTACGTGAACATACGCATACCAGACAGTGGGGATCTTTCCCGAAGCGCCGCCAATGCCAGCACCGTGACGCTCATTCACTGGCCACCTCCAACGCTTCAGAGCTTCAACATTCGACTCCAGCCGACCCAAAGGTGTCAGGTGTGCACTCGTCATTGACACCTTGCCATGATGCGTGGCATACTCCGCGGCCGACTGTTTACTCGTTCGTCTGACTATGTTTTTTTTCCTGATCTCTTGACTCTCGAGAGGCGCCTCTCGCCTCATCCCCGCTGTGAGGCAAATATACTCGAGAACCGTGTATGCTATGACAAAACTCCGTTATCGAGATACCTCCTGCTCGTGATACTCAGCGTCGGTGAAGCTGTAGCTTCCATTACATCCGACTCTCTGAGAATGGCCTCAAGCGTGCATAGCCGCCCCTTCACGTGCGCTCGGGCTTACAACTATACCTGTGCAGCGCTCTGGACGAAGCCGCTAAAAGTCAGGTGCGTACTCGCATCGCATCGCCCTATAACGACATACGCTCACGCTCCCTCGTGTTCAGAACATACCATGGCTTCTTAAACTCCCGCAGCCCATGCTAAAAGTACGATAAATCGATAGTGCAGCACGCCCCACACGATCGTCTGCACCCTCAACTGGACTGGCGCCCCTTGCACTTCGCCATATACCACTGCACACCTCGATCGCGAACATCGCCAGAAGTCTCGCGGACCTCATGCTCTCGACGATAGATAACCTCAATGTCGCAGACTTCGTGTTCGGCATCCTTGGCTTCATCATGGCCGCCATGGCCACCAGTTTGATGCAGCTCATCAGGAGCCGTCTACCCCACGCCCGCCTGCAGGAAGTCGACGAAGCCCTCGTGGAGGCCCTCGCACACGTGCAGATGCTCGTAGACGGCGAGAAAATCACCGAGGAGAGGGCAGTGAAGGCGCGTCAGGGCATCGCCAAGTGCGTATCATCCAACCGCGTGCGGCAGGACGTTCATTCTCGAGACGTTGACTGATAGATCGACTCGTACAGGCTGAGACGACGGTATAGGGATCTCTGGTTGGAGGTTGATCACTGGACGGCCCTAGGCTGGAAGCGGTTCATGCATCCGACGTTCAAAGAGCTCCGGTGCAGCTGCAGTGATCTCCTCAAGCGCATCGCCACGCTGCGGGACGGGCTCCGTCACCAGGATCCGCCGGTGTCTTCGGTCAAACACGCTGAACTCTCGCGCACAAGTCTCTTATCGACACTCTCCACGAGCAACTCCGTATCCTCAAACTCCACTGATACCCTCGAGCCCTCCCCCTTACTGTCTTCATCTCCGTCCACGAATCTGTCCTCGTGGAACGTCGTTGAGCTCGACGCCCTCGCGCGACCCCCCAAAACCTATCAGCGCCTCAAAGTGCAGCGCTTCACGCCGCAGGAGAGCCAGCTGACGCAGACTGAAATTACGCCTCAGCCTACCGCGACCGCGCATGACTCGGAGCACAGATCGACGTCTACCGAACCCGACTCAAACTCCTCACCCGCCAGTGCATCTTCCGTCTCGGAGGCTGCACTCGATCATGCGTCCACAGAACAAGATGTGCACACGGTAGCTCTCGAAGCAGAGAGGCAGAAGGTGGAAGATACGACACTTCCCGAGCCCGTCTCACGCGCCTCTTCGGCCAGTCCATCCTCGATCCCGGAGTCCACGTCCGATTCTGCATCCGCAGAAGAGGATATACAGACTGAGTCCCTCGATGATATGAGGTCGCAGGAGGTGGAGGAGATGCCCGCTTCGGAAACCACCCTAGGTGTTGCAGTCGTAAACGAGCAACAGACACACGCTTCAGGCGTGGAAACACACCTGACACAAGGCACAAGCACCGTCAGAAGAAAGGGCCGTCGGACACACCTTGACTCGGGACCGCACAAGGGCTTCAGGATTTTCTCGTTTCATGATATACCAGAACTACACAGCAGAATATTGGGCGGGGAAGACCTCGTCCCCGATTACGGCGAACGCCAGGTGGAGTCACTCAAGCGCCTGACCATGGAAGAGTACAGTCGGGCGAGTGCCTGCGCTGCCTATACCGGATCAATCATATACTACACGACCAACCCCACTACTACACGACCAACCTCACGATAGCAGGCATCCGCTGTGGCCTGATGTTGCGTCTTCACCTCTCTATCGCACTGACATCCTCTCTATCATTCGCACCCACTCTCCGGCTATCGAGTATGACCAACGTCCCCCTGTACATCAGCCTAGTACGTGACCCCCAAGCCCCCCGCGATGGCGGCATCTGCCCTCCGATCGAGCACTCAGGCTGGAAACACAACTACGCCGAGGCAACCCTACTGCCGACACCGCGGACATCCCTAGGAGAACTCGGAGGAGTCCTTACAATGCGCTCGCGAGGACCCTGTCAGCGCCTACGGGCGCACGCAGTCACTGCGGGTGGAAGCGGCAAATGCTACCTCATTGTCGGACTTTTCGAAAGGCGCCTCGCGGGGTGGTACAAATGATCGGGATGCCTCGCGAGGCCTCGCGAGATGTTTTTGTCCTCACGATGCCTCTTGTGGGTGATGCGAGGGTTACGCGAGGCTAGGCGAGGTTGATTCGAGGGCAATTTCGAGGGACTCTCGAGGGAATCTCGAGGATTTTGCCCTCGCGATGCGCACTTTAAAAGTCCGACAATGGGCGCACACGTCGATCGAGGATTTGATGGCAAGGCTGGTAGCAGGGCGGTCTTATGTATAATGTTTTTCAGTGACGGACAGCGTCCTGCGGAATGGACCAGAAGATATTTATCGTACAGCGCGAATTGAATGTGACAACGGTACTAGTTTAGCAGTATCTGCATCGGACGCGGGTCTTGCGCTTGTACTGTGCACGGAGCGGCTAACACGCTCGGACGCGCATCCTAGCGAAGGCGAGGGTGGGTATATGTGGTCGCGCTTGTATTTGGGCCTGTGTCGTGGATCCGGGAGATCGAGCATATGAGTACTGTGAGCCACACCAACGTTGGGCACGAGCCAGTGTCAGTACCTGGTCCACATTGAATATCAGAATCAACGACGCACTGTTCACGAGAAGCTAGGAAGAGGCAGTGTCTGTCACCCCCTGTGCTAATCCTGTCGTGGGACTGGATGCGCGATGTCTAGAAGATAATGCAGCGCAGTACGTACATCGCGCATCGCCCTGCATCGGCTTACGCACTAGAACTTGGAGGAGTACGTGATCCTCGTGTTCGGAATACTTACAGAAGCAGTCTCTCAGGCTCTGCTGTATAGGACCCGCTGTGCAATATATGTCGGGGTTGTATACCGCCGTGATGATATGTCCAACACCACCCACCGTCACCTCGACCACACGCAGTGTCACCTCTCGACTCCGAACCACCCAGTCAAATTCCTAGCCAGCATGCCATCTGCCATCGAAATCATCGGCCTCGTGTTTGGCATCTTGAGCTTATCCGGGCTCTGCAATGCCGGGAAGAAGACCGTCGCGCGACGTCAGCCCCCTGGCCGTCTGCGCGAGGTCCAAGATGCCCTCGCCAGCACGCGCGCACTCATCGATGACCTCGAGCGGGGCGGATACCTCTCGGGAGCGGAAAGGCGAGAGGGCGCGGAGGATGCGGACAGTTACCGGCGCCGCCTCACAGAGTAAGTGAGCACGCCCGCTCCTTACCCGGCTTCGCTCGCACCCCCGCACGCGCAACCCGCTGACTGGCCGCGGCGTCCAAATCGTCAGGCTAGACAACGATGCCATCGACCTGCGCCTGGCCGTCCAGAAATGGTCTTCGATGCCGGGGATCTTCAGCAAGTACGTGCACCCGGACCGCACGATACTCCTACGCCAGTGCAGTCATCTCCAAAAGGACATCGAAACCATGTGCACGCACCTATACAATCTTCCGCCGCCCCCTGCGCGATCTCTGCCACCCCGGCGTTCGCCGATGGTCGATGCTCCGCAGGATCTACATATCGTGTCCGCTGCATCTACCGCCACCACGGAGTTTACTTCTTCCACACCTTCCGAGTCCTCTGTCACCTCCATATCCTCCTCCCCTCATTCACCAAGACCACCCGACCCCGAGCGCATCGCCCTGGTCGAGATCAACTCGGATCGGGCCTCACCACAGGTCACCAACGACACACCACAGGCACATGCGTCCGGCGTAGAAACCACCCTCACAGACGGCACAATGGCAACCGTCCGCAACGTGGCCGCACACCGCGACGACTCCGACTCTGCTGACTCTGCCGACACCAGCTCCGGCGCGAGCGCGAGCGCGGACTCCTCCGACCAGACGCCTCAGGGCGAGAATGGCCCCGGGGAGAAGGAGCAGCAACAGCGCACGAGCCAGCGGAGCTCGCGGACGAAGAATCCGCGTGCGGAAGCCGAACGACGGGTCACGTACCTTACGTCCAACTACTTCTCGGGAGGGCTCGGGAATCCGTACTACTTCGAGAGCGCGCCGTTTTGAGATGCTTACCGTAGTAAGGACATCGGTCAGCGAAGGTTGACTCACCTGTTTGTAGAGCAACGTACCTCGTGGTGGTCCAGGATCAAGTACGAATAGGGCACCGCCACCACGTCTCCCCGTTTGCAGTCGCGCCGCAATCTCTTCCCTCACACTCCTCCCTCCCTGTCCACATATACCAATACAGATAGATTCTATACACGCTACATGCACGGTCACTGATACAGATTTAATGCTACTCGCTACAAAGCGCACCCCGCGCACCTACAAACACTCCCAGCTCTGCCTCCCAATCGCCACCACCCGATTAAACAGCTCATCCCTTCCCTTGATCGCCGTAAACACCCTCCGTCCCCCCAGCCGATCCACAACCTCTAGCCCATCCACGACATCCCTTCCCGTCGCCCACCCCACCACCAACCGTCCCTTCCACCCAAACCCGCCCAGCTTCCGCACCGACACCACATCCCCGACCCCAATCGTAAACTCCGCAGGCAAGCCCCCCGCCTCGTCCCCGCCCCGCCCGGGGATCTTCGACGGCCCGCTCAGCGCCGCCAGCAGCGGCTTCTCCGGGACCCACGCAAGACACGGCGACGCCGCGCCCGTCACGAGCAGCAGCCGGCCCTTGCGCCCCTTCACGCGCGCGGAGAAGCTCGTCGGGCCCTCGCGCCGCAGCGCCGCCTCCGCGCGCGCCTTCGCGTCAGCCCTCTCCTGCGCGGTCTGCGGCGGGGCGGCCGCAGCGGTGTCCGCCTTGTCGGGCGGGGGCGCGACTGCGCCGAGGCGGCGCTTCGCGTGCTCGTTCCCGATTTTGGCTTTCAGGCGGTCCATGCCGAGCACACCGCTCACGCCTGTGTGCGCCGTCTTCTTGATGAGCCCTAGCACCTTGCTGCCCGCTTTTTTCTTCTTTGGTGTGTCGCCTGCGTCGTCGCCTGCGTCGTCGCCCTCCACGCTTTCTCCGTCGGTGACTTCTCCGTCTGTACCTGCGTCGTCGTGGTTGGGGTCCACGCCCTCGACCTCGTAGCCTTCCGTATCGAACGCGAAGTCGTGCTCCTTAACAGCGTCAGCTGCCTCTTGAGAGTGAGCGGGAGCAGGGTTCGCAGCGTCCACGGCGTCTGCTGTATGATGAGCGCGCGCGACGGGCGGAGGTGGCAGCGGCGCCTTGGCTTGCTCTGCGACCCTGAGGAGAGTGAGCGTGAGCTGCGCGTTCGTTGGCACGCCCTTGAGTAGTGCCCTTAAAAAAGGTCAGCAGGATGACTTGAGCAGAAATGCAGAGATGCGAACCTCCTGAGCTCGACGAACCGACGCCAGTGGGGGAAGCGGTGCGTGAACTTGGCCGTGAATTGTGAGATCACAGGTTTCCCAAAGAACGCGACGCCGAGGGCGAACGAAGTGCCATGAACGACAAGTCGAGCAGGTACGAAAAGCGAAACCGGCAGCAGAGGCGCCAGGACGCCAGCCAGACGCAGACGCGCTGCGTACTTCGGGAACGGCGGGACGGGTTCGATCGCGCTGTGAGATTCACAATTAACACCGGCCACTAAACTCGACACCGGCTCGCACGTACTTTCCAAAGCGCTCCCAAGTATCAGCGATATCAGCAAGGATGCGCATAACGGGCCGCATCTTCTCCCACATCGCGCCCTCGACGCTCTTCTTCGCAACATCCGCCGCCGGATCGTGAACCCCGTCGCTGTTCGCCGTGTCCTTCACGTTCTTCGCGTGCAGCACGAGATCACTAGGGTCCGGCAAACCACCCGCGATCGAGTCGTCACTCGTGCCTTCAGCCTGGTCCGTCTCGGTCTCCATCTCACCCTCCGCGTCGCCCTTCTCGTCTGCGCGTGCTTCTCCGTGCTTGCGCTTCGGAGAGCCGCCCTGGCCCATGAGCGTCCCAGCTCCGACGGCACCAAGAGCGGCGACGAAGTGCGAGGCTTCCTGTTCGACGGCCTCACCCTGGTGCGCTTCGGGTGCGCCGGACAAGGAATCCTTGGAACCGAGGGTACCCGCCCGAGGCACTTGCAGATTTCCAGTAGTGGCGCTGACGGCTGCGAGCGGTGCGGGTGGGAAGAGCTTCGCGCGATATTCAGGGTGGAAAATGAGGACGAGGAGCGTGCATATAAGCAATGCGGGGAGCAGAGAGAGATACCATGCAGCGAAATAGGCCTATGAATGCGCATATAGTCAGCTTCAGCCGTCATGAGATAATTTCACATGAGAACGTACCACGCAGAACTTCGCGGTCCGCCTGGGTTCGTTCCATGAACGAAGTCTGGCTATATGCTTTCCGAACGCAGCCATGCCGATAATCTACAGCACGCGGTGAGTGCATACCCTAAGGACATGCCAAGCAAACGGACTTACCACCGTCATGTAGAGCCTCTCGATGTTCGCGCGCAGCTTGTCTGGGGAGAATTCTTCGTCCTCGGAAATCTCGAGGTCAAGGAAACCAGGAGGAGGGTCCGGTACTGCCCTGACATGTTGGACTTGCTGATATAGGATGAGTATGGGTGAAAAATTGCGCAGAGCATGCAAGGGCAACGTACCTTGTTGAACCGCCTAACGATCATGAAGAGGTCATCATTGGTGATGCCCTGTATGAGAGAGGGCGCGCGGACGGAGTCTTGTCTCCATCCGAGGTCCTTTACCTCCGGGTCGTCGAGTTCTGAGGTGACACGGGAGGAAGGGGGCATGGAGGTGCCCTGGGCGACCAAGTCGACGGGGTTGGCGGAGTGCGGGTCCTGCTGCGGAGTGTCCGGGAGGGGCTTCATCACGGACTCTGATGGAATGGGAGGCGTGTCGACATCGGTCGCGTCCGTGGTAGCCGAGTGGGCAGACGAGTCTGTGAAGACGGTGGTGGTAGGCGAAGGAGGGTCGTGTGCCGCGGCCATCCGAGTTGAAGAGCTAGGTGCGACGGTGGTGGGCCCGGCGACTTCCGGATGTTGTTCGTGTGCAGACGGATGTGGGTGGTCGTTGTTCATGATATGTTCGTCGTTTGTGCGGTCGTGGTGGGCGTGCGCAGCTGTGGGCCATGGTTGGAGTTGTTGGAGGGAGGTTAAGTACGCTGGATCTCCGATCTCCACCTTGACATCTAATGACGCGGTGGCGTCTATATTTATCGGCGTCTGCCGCACTCTTCCGAATTGGGCCATCATCCATCCACCACCGCCATCATCTCTTCCACAGCTCGGGATCGAAATGGGACACTTGTCTTTACTTCAGACGATCCTGCCAAGTGTCTTTATGTTTGCTCTATACACAGTCGACTAAAAGGTACATGTCTGAGATCTGAGATCATCTCCTTCGGCCACAGGCTCGGGCAGTCATCTCCACGCAACCCGACATGGCCAGTCGCATCTCCAACAACTCGTAAACACACCAAATTCTCTACCCTTATTATTCCAATGCACTTACTTCAAAGACCAACAGAGACCTCTATATACTCTAGCCACCCAAATGGCCTTTGAGCTCCCATCGGGTCTTACACGTCCACTCCGAGGATCAATCCCACTGCACCGCATCCTACGCTATGTTTACTCCCATTACGCTTCCAATTTGATATCAAGCAACAGGCCCGCTCCCGCGAATAGTCAGAAATCTTCGTCCGGCGCGCCCATGCAACCCGAGGCGTCAACCGCAAGCCCGGTCTCATTGCACGGCGGGCCCCCTCAATGTCGAGGTCACCTTCCCTCTCTTTCCCTCTCTCCCCTACCCGCACACCTCCTATAGCGCTATCTGAAACCCTCCTATGACCGAACTCAACGTGACCGTGAACGGTATCAGCATCAACCTGATAGCCTCTAACGACTCCAGCATTGCATACGACGATACGTGGCAGCTGATACCTAGGAGCGGCCTCAACAGCAACACTACCAGCGATGCCGCCTACGCAGGCCAACCCGGCTCCACCCTCTCCTTCGACTTCACAGGTCCGTCCCCTCTATCTCCCTATTTGATTATCCACAACCTAATCTCCCTCGAACCTACCAGGAATCGCGCTCCTCGCAGCGTCGACCCTTCCCGCGACCCTCCCCGCAAATGCCAACCAGACGCTCCCAAACGTGACCATCACCCTCGACGACCAGCCGCCCACGCGCGCATCCGCCGCGCGCACCGCCGGCGACGCCTTCTTCTCCGCGGGGCCCATCTCTGCCGGGGCGCACAAGCTCTCCATCACCGTCGACGACGCGTCCCCCGAATTCCCCTTCATCCTTGATGTCCTCGCGTACTTCCCAGTGCAAGACGTCGCACAAGCCTACAACGCAAGCTCGTCCGCAAGCATCGACGCCGCCTCTGGGGCCGACGCGGCGAAGCAGCAGCAGATCCAGAATCTTATCAACCAGCTCAAAGTCGCACAGCAGAAGGAGCGCGGGCCGCCGGTCGCGGCCATCGTCGGTGGGACCATTGGTGGTGTCGTCCTGCTCTCCCTCATCTCCTACGCGGTTTGGTACCTCTACGTTCGCCCACGGCGGAATGGCGGTAGGGCATTCTTCTACGCGCCCGCGAAGGCCAGCGACATGCTAGAGGGCGAGTTCGGTCAGCCCCGTTTTGTCACTCCCTCATCGTAACCGCACCTGACCGTCTCGCGCGCAGATCTGGACTCGGATCCCTACCCTCTCCTCTCATCCAAGACAGGTCAGCCGCGTTCCCCCTCACTAGACTCGTTCCCCACCGGGCGGAGTTCTGCGCACGCGCCAAGCCTGTCTTAGGCTGCGCGCCGTCTTCCATTTCTCGCTCTTCCGTGTCGCTTCTGTCGCTCGCATCCACTCAACGGACAATCACTGTACTGGACACGCATCATCTCTATATATAATCCTCGCTGCGCTTACGCAAAAGCGCGCCCTTCTTACACTTCCCGGACTACGCCGCCGCCACATCTCCCGCGGCGTCTTCTCGATCGTCGGGTCCGAAGCTTCTTCTGTACGGCCCCAGAACAGGGGTCCACCCTCTTGGTGGCTGTGTCCTTCTGAAAACCCAGGTCCCAGGAAAGTTTCGAGGAACCGAGCGCGGAGGCGAATGACGCTCGGTACCGCTCGTAGGCGTAAGTTTAGGTCGCAGACGCGATACTGCGATCCGGATTCCGCACCATATGTACGCGTTATATTTAGGCGCGAGTCCGCGCGATGGCAGATTTGGTAATCGTACACAACGATGTGCAGCAGCACGAATCTGTTCGATACGATACTAGCTATGTAGGTTAGCGACACCGGCCAATACGACTCGGTTGACTAGAGAGCTATAAAACATATATGCGAGGGGAGAGATGATGCAGAGATATAAGGGAGGGGCGGGATGTAGTGATGAGGGGCTCAGTACTAGTGACGCATCTAGGGATGGACTACTATGGTATGGTGAGACTAATGATGCAGCGGCGACGACTCGTAACTCGATGCCTGTAAACCACGAAGAATGAAAGAAACCGACCCAAAATCAACGTCCACCACAGCCCCTACACCTCCGCCTCCTTAGCGGCTTTCTCCGCCTCCTTCCTCGGCGGCTTATGCGGCAGATTGCCCGTCGGCGAGTACTTGCTCCTTCTCCTCAACTTGTGCCCATACCGCCTCAACACAAACGGAATTGGGGTCATGATCAGCGCCAAGCACCCGAGCAGCGTCGACGCCCAGCGCGGGTTCAGCGTCTCGTACATCTGCGTCGCGAACAGCGGGAAGCCCGCGCCGAACAGGCTCCGCACGACCGTCATGCTCGACAGCGCGCTCGCCGCGACGAATAGGTACGCGTCGATCGTGTAGTTGAACAGGCCCAGGAACAGCCAGATGATCGCGAAGCCCATCGGGAACCCGGCCATGAGTGGGGCCCAGTACGAGACCGAGGGGTACGACGTCCAGCCGAACCAGAAGAAGGAGATGGTGTAGATGGGCGCGGCGTACATGCACACCTCCATGCGGTACTCGGGCGGGACGGGGTGGGGCGCGAAGTCGGCCATCGCGCGGTGGTAGCGCGGGTTGAAGATGAGCAGGTAGGTGATCACGGCGCAGACCGCGCCGAGGAAGATCGGCAGGAACATGAGCCCGGAGATGCCCGCGTTGAAGTGGTGTCCGCGCGTGAAGACGATCGGGTACGCCTCAAAGAGCAGGTAAACCACGCCGTAGATGAACTGTAGGAAACGCGTCAGTACTGAATGCGGGCGGGAAAAGGTGAATCCAACGTACACTCATGTACAGAGTGATGACCAAGAGCATGGGCTCGCGGAAAAGGATGATGAACGGGCGGCCAAGGACGTGCTTCGTCCGCTGCGCCCAAGTCATCGTGTTCCTCTCGAGCGGTGCCCAGTAGCGATCGTCGCCAGTCTCCTTACGCAGTCTCTGCGCGCGTTTCACCAGAATAGCGGGACTGCGAGAAATCAGTCAGCAGAGGACACAAACCCGCAATATGTGTACTCACGCGTAAGTCTCCGGCAGAGTGAAAATGACCAGGACGAGGCATGTCCCGGCGAACATCGTCAACAGCCAGAAGACCCAACGCCACGATACGCCGGCTACGGCCATGAAGCCGCTCACTGTAGGGCCGATGGTAGGGCCCGCGAAAGGTGCGAGGGCAAAGAGAGCCATCGCCTTGCCTCGCGTGTCCGCGTCCCAGACGTCCGACATGACAGCACTGCGTGGGCAAGTCAGCAACCCATGAATTCCGGAACTCAGACAAGAATACGTACCCGCTATTTGCCAATGGTGCGGCGGCGAACACTCCGCCGAGGAACCGGAAGATGAGAATGGAAGCCGTGTTTTGCGAGAGCGCGCATCCTACTTGGAAGCCGGTATATGCAGTGAAACTGATCAGGAAGACGGGCTTTCGTCCGTACTGCTCAGAGAGAGGACCCCAGAGGAGCGGTCCGACGCAGTAGCCGGCGACAAAGAGCGCGATAGTGAGAGTGGCAACTTCGGTGCCGAAGGAGAACTTCGCCATCAGTTGGGGGACAATTCCTGATGGCGCGGAAGAGGCAAACGTTCTGCAATGGCGGTGAGCGGTACGGACGGCAGTAACAGAATAACGAAACGTACGCATTCAAGACAAGCACAGCGGACAACATTGTAACATACCAACGATATGGACGCGACCACGTCTTTGGGTTGTCGGGGTCGTCTGGACCCATGATCACCTCGAACGAATCGAGCGCCTTCTCGCCCTCTGCAGGTCCGTAGGCCTCGTGCTCAAATTGCAGGTTTATATCGTCGTCTTCTGCACGATCGCTCGTATCGACCGCGGTGGGAGTGCGGGAGCTCGCCCGCTCGACATGTTGTGTGTCGTCTTGCGTGTACACGGGTGGATGGTGGGGAGCAGCCATGGCTCAGGAATAGATGGAAGCGAGGGCGGGATGGGAGACGCAAAGAAAAGGCTTTCCGGTCACCCGGGGATTAAGTATGAAGATTCTAGAGCCATGCCGGGTACGGGAGCTGAGTGCGTGTGTGTCGGCGATGGTGGAGAGGCGGTAGGAGGGATGATGGTCATCGTGAATTTGTCAAGTGGCTGGAAGAGAGGGCGAGGGAGCGCGTCGAACGGGAGATCGAGGAGTGCTCCAGTTGGGTCTTTCCCTCTTTTGGCTTCATAGGTTGCTCCGCCCGAATATTTATCCCGCTGCGTCCGCTCGCGTCGGCGGGCCCGGAGCCGCACCCCGCGAGGCCCCGGGCTGGACAGAAGTCGCCGTGGCTGGAGCCTTGCTGGAGCCTGAGGTACACCAAGCATCGCGTCTCACTCAGACGGCGTCTTTGTGAGCGTTTCGCGGACGAAGAGTGAGAGAGAAAGAAGAGGAAAGTATGGGCGACAGAGATCGGGCATAGATCGGCGTCCCTTCGTGGCGGTGCTGTCTCGGTAATGATAGGCGCACGTGAGCATTCCGTGCCTGTCGGCCGCTCTTGGCATCCGTGCTCCTCCTCCGAACTCGAACCGCTTCGGTTTGCCCTGCTCTACTCCTCGCATTCGCTGGATGCGTGCAGTATCCCGTTTCACTGTAGCAGCTTGCATTTTCAACGCATTGTACATATGGTGCGTATCATCTATGGCCCGATGGATGATTTGTCAAGCAAAACTACGGAGGAACACGTCGTCCGAGTCTGCCCAAATTCCAACTCGAGCGGTCCTCGTGGGTCGATTCTACAGGACAAGGTATCATTGTACCATAATCCACGCGACATTTAACTTTTTTTTTGCTCACATAGAGCTCCAGTACTCCGAGTGCCGCTTGCGCGTTCCGTTCAAAAACGGAATGATCGTCGAATTCAAGGTATACACCTCTAGATGCCGGGTCCGATCTCGAGTCACTGGTCTTGGCAACCATGCGCTTGTGTGTAACCACCAGTGAAGGTTGCAACGGCTTACTACTTTTGCAATGTGTTGCATCACACTGCGCACCCGCGGCGGTGCGATGGCCACGGTGAGTAGTAAGCCATCGTTCTAAACGCTAAGCCAATCCAAGTATCTTGTCCACATCTATCGCAGCGAGTCGTTTATACAGAGGTCGTCTATGATATCCTGCTTCCTGAGGCCTAAGCCTTGCTAAAGCCATATTTCCATATCAGCGAAACTATCAGCCCCGCTGCCAGTGGTGACCGACTCGAAACTTCAACTAGAGCCTGAGCGTTTCTCCTTCACTGCTGCTATCACGCAGATAGCGTCTTTCATATTATAGCGCAGCTACCCGGCTCGTTAACCGTGACGATCCCACAACTTCCCACAAACCGACCGTCCATCAAATTCGCAACGATTCGCAAGGATCGCCCGATTGTTCCCCACCCGATCTCGTGGCACTCATGCAGCCACGTAACCCGGCACTTATGACGGCGCTCTGACGCCGTCCTATCTTCGACTCTTCACGTCGCGAACATGGTTTCCTCGTGTATGTAGCTGCGGTAGGAAGTATCTGACTTCTTACCGCAGCAACATACGCTCGCGGTCGAATCTGGACGCACGGCGTGTTTTGATGTTTCGCCGTGGGCCATTCTGCCCCTCATTGGCGCACCCAGCATACATCATCGAGGCCATACCTGGGCCTTCCCGTGCCGTTCTACGACAGTCAAGTTCCTCCGCACCCCCTTTGGGTTCTTCTTTCCTGAGCGGGCAGCAGTCCAGCCCTCACGGCGCGACAGATGTGAACTAGAAGCGACCTCGTGTCAGTCATACGGTCCGCACCAACAGGTTCGCCGACAGAATTCCAGGCGAAGCCGACCTCGCCCTTACAATGCATCGGACGAGGAGTTACCCTTCCTCGAAAATTACAACCGCGTGGAGAGAACCTTCCTCCGCCAGGTCCTCAGGATAAAAGGCGGCGGCCACATCTCTCGCCCTCCATTCACAGCTATTCTCTTTGGCCCTCACGCCTCATCTCCGCGCTCAGCACTCCACGACGACTCATCCGGCACATCTCCCAGGCTCGCCTACCTCTCTGCAACAGCCAGTAAGTTCCCTCCGCATCATCCTCGTCGACGTATCAGATGCTAATCGGCTACCCTTAGTGCACCGCACTTGGGAGATCGGCCTCGGGCTGACCGCCGTGATTGTCGGCGGCGCCGGCATGGGGTACGAAGCCGCCTCGCTGCTCAGCCTGTCCAAAGTGCGCGCCCTGCCCCGCGGTCAGTCCACGAGCCCGTCCTAGCGCCTCCTCTCTCCATCCGCTCACGGCACGCCCCTCACAGCCATCTTCAGCGCTCTCGGACTCTGCGCCCCCGGGCTGAAAACCACCTGGGACATCCTCATGGCGGGGGAAGACGGGAGCGCCACGCAGGCCTGGGAGCTGTTCGACGGCGGGATCGCGCTCCTCCGCGGCACCGGGTCCGCCACGCACGTCGCCGCGCAGCTCAAGCAGTACTGCAAGCACCTCTGGGAGGACTTCCTCCACTCAAAGCTGCTGCGCAACATCCTCTTCATGGCCATCGCCGCGTTGATCCTGAACGGGATCGGCTTCGCCGTCGCCGGCGTTGCCGCTGGTCAGTTGCATTTTCCCTCGTCGACTCGGACTCGTTGTCTTACGCGCTAACGAACCTGCGGCGTGAGCAGGCAGCCTCGCCACGCTCGCCCAGAGCTGCATATACGGCGGGCAGACGGGTGGGTTGTTTTCCGTTTTGCAATCCATCGGCGCCCGCTTGTTCACTGGCAGCGTATTCTGGCTGGCCTTCTTTGTCATCCCTGCTGTTGCGGTCGTCGTCGAGGTAGTTGTACGCAAGGTCGTCAAAGTAGCTCGCAAGGTCGTCAGCTGGATATGGTCGTGGTGGCGATGAACAGCGAGCAGTCGAAAAATCGGAGAAGGGGCACAGGGCCAACGCGATCGCGGCTTACAATATTTCTTGATCAGACGGGGGCGCATTCACGATTCGGCAGAGTCACCCAACGGTGTCGGGTTTCATTCCATGTATTGCTATCCTGTACAAGTATATATAAGACATCCGATCCGTCCCGCATGCACAACGTCGCCGTCCATCCAGCACCAATTCAATCATACAACAATACACGTGCCCACTGGCACTCACACCTTCGCCCCCTCCGCATCCACATCCTCCTCCACATCAACAAGCTCCCTTCCCTCCTCAACCATCTCCCCCTTCACACACCCCACCACCCTCACAACACCCGCGACCGGCGCCCTCAACACAGTCTCCGTCTTCATGCTCTCTAGCACCACGACCGGCTGCCCCGCCTCCACGCGCTCGCCCACCTCCACACGCACCTCCACGACCACACTCGGCATCGGCGCCCTCAACGCGCCCTTCCCCGCACCGCCCGCCTCGCCCCCGAGCGCGAGCACCCACGCCGGGGGCGGCAGCACGAGCGCCGTCTTCCGCGCGCCGTCGAACACGTGCAGGCGCTCCGCCGAGCCCGGCTGCGCGACGACCGTCGTGCGCCGGCGCGCGCCGTCGAGCGTGCTCGCGACGGTCGTCGGGGACGCGAGGTGCGCGGAGACGCTGTGGAAGGTGTGCGTGCCGGACGCAGTGTGCGTCGTGATGTCGAAGAGGCCGCCGGGGCGAGACTGGACGTGCACACTCATCGGGGGCGCGCTCGTATCCTCGGACTGGATCGCGATGGTGCGCTCGTAGACGTCGCCACCGAACCGCCGCGAGGCGAGTGTACTCCATGGGGATGGTGACGTCGGGACGGGGTGGTCGCGGAGAACGACGAAGAGTGCGGCTTGCGCGAGCACCTCATGCGACGGCTCCGGGATCGGCGGGAAGAGCTCGTCGAAGTGTTTCTGTCTTGCGCTCAGCGACAACCATTTGCTAGTCAAAATGGTGGCTCACCGGAATGAAACCTGTCTCAACCTCCGCCCTCACAAACGCCTCATTTCCCGCGAGTGTCCGCAAGAACTCGACGTTCGTCGCAACGCCCACGACCCGGTACTCCTCCAACGCACCCCTCAGCATTCGCAGCGCCTCCGTCCGGTCACGCCCGTGTACAACGAGCTTCGCGATCATCGGGTCGTAGAACACCCCAATCTGCGCGCCCTGCTCAAACCCCTGCTCGAGCCGCACGACGGGCGCGAGCGCGGCGGACGCGTTGACGACCGGGGTAAACTCGTTGCTACCAGACGGGGACGCAAGACTGTGCTCTGCGACGGAAGGCGCAAAAACGTGGGTCGGCTCGGGTGTGGAAAGGTAGAGGAGCTGCCCGGAATCAGGGAGGAAGTTATTACGGGGGTTTTCAGCGTATATGCGTGCTTCGAATGCGTGGCCAACGAGTGCGATGGAGGACTGAGCGAGGGGTAGCGGGTTGCCTGAGGCGACCTATCCGAGCGTCAAGATCCTTTAAGGGTGAGAATGAGGACGACGTGACTGACCTCTAGCTGCCACTCTACGAGGTCAAGACCGGTGATCATTTCTGTTACCGGATGCTCCACCTGCAACCGTGTGTTCCTGCAGGCCTAAAAGTAAGTAATAAGCGTACAATTTCACTGGGCGAAACTCACATCTCCATAAAGTAGAACTTCTCTGTGTCGTTGTCGAAGATAAACTCCACGGTCCCCGCGCCGACATAGTTCACCGCCTTCGCAGCCGCAACGGCCTTCGCACTTAAGTCTGCCCTCAACTCTGGTGACAACCCCGGGGCAGGCGCCTCCTCGATAATCTTCTGGTTCCGTCGCTGGACAGAGCAATCACGCTCCCACAAACTAACGCAGTCCCCCAACTGATCCGCGAAGACTTGCACCTCGACATGCCGCGGGCGCTCGATGTACTTCTCGACAAGCACGTCCGCGTTGCCGAACGATTTGCGCGCCTCGCGCTGTGCAGACTCTAGTGCTTCGTGGAACTCGCTTGCGGCGTTCACAATACGCATACCCTTGCCGCCACCACCGTGCACGGCCTTGATTAGAACAGGATAACCTGTCAAGGCATCAGACAGGGATTTTCGCTCAACGACGCTACTGCTTACTGATACGAGACGCCTCCTGCTGGAGGAAATCCGGGTCCTGGTTGGTACCATGGTATCCTGGTACCACTGGCACTCCAGCAGCTATAGTCGTAATATGTGAGCCCTGTACTTACCTATTCAGTACTACATCACGTACCTGACATAATGTTCTTGGACTCGCTGAATGCCGCTGCGTTCAACAAACGCGTAGCATATATCAACTGCAAAGAACACGAACCTCTTAGAGCCCATACTAACGATCGCGCTTGCGGGAGGACCTATAAAGACAATCCCCTCTCGCGCAAGTTGCTCTGCAAATCCGGCATTCTCGCTGAGGAACCCATAACCTGGGTGCACAGCCTACCATCCGTTATAGTTGATCAACATGAAACCAAGACCGATGGAAGAAATCATACCTGCGCGCCGCTCCGCTTGCAGACGTCTATAATCTTGTCTATACGGAGCTAGAAACAGAGACAATTAGGCTGTAGGCCTGACACAGGATTCTTGTAGCACCGAATACGCACATAACTCTCAGACGACGGTGCAGGACCTATGCAATATGCTTCGTCCGCCTGTCTCAATGGTAAGCGAGTCGCGCTGCAGTATACGCCAGTTTCACTGACCAATTGTACGTGCAACGAGCTCGCATCTACTTCACTGTAGACAGCGACGGTCTTGACACCTAGCTTTCTGGCGGTGCGAATGACACGACATGCGATTTCACCTCTAGCATCCTCAGGCGGTCAGGAACGCATCGCGGGCAGCAAAGACAGTCTGGTGTCACCTGTTCGCGATGAGTATCTTGTCGAAGAGAGGTTTGCGTGCAGAAGGTTGCAATGTCGTGAAGGAGCTGTCTATACAGCCGCATAGGTACGTGACGGAAACACAAAGATACTCAAGTAAGGACGAACCTGACGCGGGAGTCGCGAATCCTCTTGACTGCGTACGAACGCCCCCCGCCTGCTCGACCGAAAGTGGCAGGCTCCGGCAAGCAGCCGAGCCCGCTGGTGGGCGTAGATGTTGTGTGAGAGCAGCAGAGGAAAGCCTTCCGGTTGGAACCCTGTGTATCCGGGGAAGAGCACGAGCAGCAATAGAGCGTGGCGTATTGGGCAGCATGACGAACGCGCAGGAATGCGGGGTAAACAGTCGCGTCGCGATCGGTGCACAGCTGGGGTAGACAGAACGTGTTCGACAGTCGCTGGTACCACCAGGAGAGGCTCGCGAGAAAGATATGGTCTCTTCTGAGATGCTCTTCCAGGATAAGAGGATGGAGGTAAGCCCAGAAAGCAGGAGGTGAGTGGAAGAGGAGGAGGATGCGGGGAATTCGAGCAAGAGTGCGGGGTCGGCTAAGCGCCCGGATCTTGCGGATCTCATGACCTCAAGCTCCGGATCCGACCACTTTCATACCACCACCACAGAACGACCGATTCCCTCTGCGCACGAACACAGTCCGCTCATTATTCCCTACATTTAAGGAGATTATGCTTGCAGTATAATCCAGAACACAGAAACAGATTTCTCCGATAGGCTGGTTTTGATATCTAACTCATGGGTCTGAAGGCAGTACAAGTTGCCTCGCTTTTCACGGCATCCTCAACAGGAGTAATCAAAACTGTAATCAACTCTGTTGCTGAGATGTAAGTGCTATGATATGCATGCCAAAAGGGCTGAGACATCTAATACATATTTTGCAGTACCAAGCCCAACGCCGATGCACCTGGGCCTCTCGCCGTCGTACTAGGATTCGCCTCTCTACACGCCCTAGGACTCGGTCTCTCGCAACTCATCTTCAGGCTATCCAGCCCGCCTCTCCATAGACTGTGGTATAACGACGACATTCTGTACGAGATATTCTCCTATCTAGAACCGGCGGACGCCGCGCAGGCGGGGCTCGTTTGCACACACTGGCACCGGAATGCGACACACGCGTCCTATCGAGAGGTCACCATCCACACATCCTCCACCTTCTCGCGCTCGCTCGCGCGCACCCTCCTGCTTAACCCGCGCCTCCGCCGCCACGTGCGCCACCTGACCGTCGTGCACTGCGCATGGCATCCCCAGGACCACCTCTACGAGTGGGTCCGCCTCCTCCCGCCTAACTCTCTGCGGACATGTCGCATATTCGGCGTCCCCGATGTTACCATGAAGCTGCAGGCCATGACAGCAGTGCTCAAGGCGCGCACGGAGGTCGCGTACTTCGGGTACAAATACCCTGAAGACGTGCTCCGGGACAACATCGCCACGGCCGTCAACCCCGCTCGGCGGCGCTGGCTGCAGAAGATGCTCGCAGCGGACTGGCTGCTGGACCGGCTGAGGCGGTACAAAGACGACATCGCGGCCGTCTCGCCGCGTCACTCGTTCCCCGACGCGATCGACCGGTTCGCGGATGGCGTACAGCTCGCGTTCCGAAGCCCGGCGCAGCTATATGTGGTTGCGTCCATGTCGGACGCGGAGGGCAGGATAACGCGCGAACGCGTCGACGCGGTGCTGGACGTACTGGGCAAATTCATCAATGCGGCGTCCATACTCTCGGTCACCCTTACCTACGACGCGCCGCAGAGTCAGCTAACCGCGGAGACGGACGACGAGCCTACCAGCAAGTACTTCGCGCCGTTGCGGTGCTTGTGCGTGTCCGGGGCTTCGCTGGACGACGCAGACTTCCCGTCGGACACGCTGCTCGTGGGCATAGCGGGTGGGACCCGTACGCGGCTTACAGTTGCAGCCGCGAAGGCAATTGTCGATAGGGTGTGGAGGGGGACGATGCCGGATGGCCGGCGGCTGCGCGTTGTGAGGATCCAGATCAAGCACGACAGGCCGATGGATGACCTTGTAGAGCCTTGTGCCGCGTGTGCGTTGTCCGAGTTGCACACATACTACTTGCTTTGAATGTGCGTGCCTCGGCGTATCGTTTGTGTGGAGAATGTCAGCTAGCTTCGCTGTCGGTAGTGCATCTTAGATGGATATGTGCTACCGTACATGTACAGTCTGTAATACGTCGACTTCGCACTTGGGTTTCTAGATACTACCGCCATCAGAAAACTGCAACCGCTATGGGGTCGCAAGCAAGCCTCGCGTTCGGGACAGAATGCATCCTGCCCTACGGAAAAATTGTGATATACAACACTCACCTCGCCCGTAGCCGCCCGTCGGTACCGAGATTAAGTTCGAGGCAATTGCACCAGGTAGTGATACACTCATGAACTCATTCGCCGGTGGCAGAACTCTGGTCGAACGTGCCTCAAATTGAGATAGGCTCACGGTTGGTCCAGTAGATCCCGAGCGTACACACGTCCATGTGGATGAATGCCGTGACGCTCTCGGCAGCTACATGAACGTGTCGAGTCCACTGACCAGTCACACGGCCCGAGGAGAGCGGACCGCCGAGGGTGCTTCCGTGGTCCCATGAACGATGGACGAGTCGACTTCTAGTGCAAGCGGGAGGGTCGCAGCGCGCTTTCGATGATGCCAATCGTCTGGCGGGGATGCTGATTCTGGAGAGGCGAACCTGAGGACCCGGCGGGAGGGAAATTGAACGAAGCATTGCGCGATCGCGGGTCCGGGGCAGGCACCAGGCACGTCCGGGGCGATCTTGCATGTGTTGCCCGATTCCCAGTGTGGAAGCAATCTGCGGCCATGTTCGTCGGATGGGGCAGGTCGAGGGCTCGGCGTCGAGGGTGTGTGCGATATGATGGAAAGAGCAAGAGAGCGAGGAAGAGAAATGGGGGAGACTCGGGGTGGATATTGAGAATTGCCGGATTGGGGAGGGCGTGCCTGGCGGAAGGGCGGCGCGGCGGGCGCGTTGAATGCGATGATGGCCTGCGCGGGCTCGTCTCTCCCTCTCTCTCTCTCGTCCACCGCACTCACCTTTACCCCCGACCCTCGCTTCCTCGCCCTGGCGCCCCTGCCCGCCCTCGGCCAGCTCAAGACCCCTCTCTTGAGCCAACAGAATGGCCATTGGCAAATGGATCCCATTCGCGTCCAGTCAGGCTCCCGCCACCCCCGCCCCCGTCGTCGTAGAGCAGCCTCCCATCGTCTCCGCAGCGGATGCAAAGTGTTTTGGCCTCGAGAACGTGAGTCTCTCATTCGCTCTCTTTGCTCTTTTGCTGATCTGTGCCAGTTCGGGAACACTTGGTGAGTAAGGCCTGTCTATCCCTATCCCGCTACCTTTGCGTGTCGATCCTCCGACCTATCGCTGCTTCTGCGCCTCCATCAACATCTTTTCCTCTCAACCATACTCTAAGCCTGCCCCTGCTCCGCCGCCGACTGTAGCCCACCCGCTGGTACTAGCCCTATCACTACGCTCACCCTCGTCCTTCGCGACCCGAACGCGGCCGGGCAGCGCGGCTTCCCACTGCGACAGCGCTGTCACCCCGTTTCTCCTCTCATGCACTGCGCCATCTTGTCTGGACCTCGATTCTCTACGTCCTTGCCTTTCTACTCTTATTACGGCATCCACCTGTCAACCCTCGTTCGCAGCATGTGGGCCTATCCGCTGACCTATTGCCCCTCGCAGCTATGCCAACTCCGTCCTTCAGTCCCTCTACTTCTGCGGTCCGTTCCGCGAGCTTCTCCTTCAATATCCCGACCCTTCTGTACCCGATGTTCCCCTACAACCGCCCTCTCCGCCGTCACCTGCTCACCCACCACCTCCACCACCAGTCACGAGTCCCCAGAACTCCCGCAAGAAGGGCGCGCGCGGCATGTCCGTCTCGGAGCCTGCGCCCAACCTTCCACCTGCATTCACGATACCACCCTCACCTCCCACCTTGCTTTCCGCCCTCCGCTCTCTATACCTCCACATCAGTCGGAACCCGGTCGATAAGGGGACCGTCTCGCCCCGCGTATTCATTGACAAGATCAAGGAGTTGAACGAGCTCTTCCGTGGCTCCATGCACCAAGACGCGCACGAGTTCCTCAACTTCCTCCTCAATAAGATCATGGAAGAGATGGAGGACGAGAGACGCCGTCTCGGATCGGGCACGAACGGTGTCGGGCCGTCCGGAGAGGACTGTAAGCATGGCTCTCCTCTCTCACGTAACATATTTCCGCTCATGTAAGTTCCATTACAGTGTCCAATTCCGTCGGGACGCTCTCGACGAACCCGCCGGCGTCCACGTCCACCGCCCTCGGGACCTCGTACCACTCCACCATCGTACACAGACTGTTTGAGGGCGTGCTGACGAGTGAGACGCGGTGCCTTACGTGCGAGACCGTATCATCCCGTGATGAGTCTTTCATCGACCTTTCGATCGACATCGAGCAGAATTCGAGCGTTACTGCGTGCCTGAGGCAGTTTAGCGCGAGCGAGATGCTCTGTCAGAAGAATAAGTTTTTCTGCGACTCGTGTTGCGACCTCCAGGAGGCAGAGAAGAGGTACGTGTTCCTATTTACCCTTCCCGCGTTCAGATGTTAATGGGTAATTACGTACAGGATGAAAATCAAGAAACTGCCGAATGTACTCGCGCTACACTTGAAGCGGTTCAAGTACCAGGAGGACGTTGGGAAGTACATCAAGCTCGCCTACCGGGTCGCGTTCCCGCTCGAGCTACGGCTATTCAACACCGTGGATGACGCGGAGGATCCGGACAGGCTGTATGAGCTCTACGCAATCGTGGTCCATATCGGGACGTACGTGCCTCGTCCTTGTGATAATACCTATCGGAGACGCGCGTGCTGACTCGGAGCGCAGGGGGCCTCATCATGGGCATTATGTGACCATTATCAAGGCGCGCGGAACGTGGATGCTGTTCGACGACGACACCGTTTCGACCATCAAGGAGTCTGACATCCCGAAATACTTCGGCGAGTCCAACAGTGGCTCTGCATACGTTCTCTATTACCAGGCGGTAGACTTGGATCTGACCGCGCTCGGGATCAAGCCTCCGACGCCGCCGCCGACCGCTGCAGCGACCACGGATATTGGCTCTGCCCCTGACCATCCACTCAGCCTCGCGACCGTCTCCGATGTGACCGAAGTCTCAGGCTCACCCTCGCCCGCGATGCCCCCAGGTCTCACGGAAGAGCCCGACTCGGACAAGAGCGACTCGCCCATGCCGAGCACGCCCGGGTCACATCCAGTCCCTCTCTCGCCCTTGCATACCCCGAAACTCCCCTCCGCGCCTGTCCCTCCGAACCTCGTCGTGTCGATACCCCCTTCCAGCCCCACCTTGCCCCCGATGCCGCCCATCCCAGCGTCACCGTCGCAGCCGCAGCATAATCATTCCCTGGGTGGGCTGTTCCACAGCCTGCGGCAGTCGCCGTCCCTGCGCCTACGTGCGAACGGGTTCACGAGCAGCGCAGAGCATCGACAGAGTGCACACGATCCCGCGCCGGGCATGCCGCACTCGCCGCGACGGCCGCGCACGGCGCAGTCGAGCGCGTCAACGGCGGACACGAGTCACCAGACGCACGAGGGCACGCTGCCGCCGTCGATACCGCCGTCCCCCAGCCCGTCGAAGAGCCACGCGTTCCCGAACGGGACTTCGGCAAAGGAGGGAGGGAAGGAGCGCGTGCCGGAGAAGAAGGCGAGCGGGTGGTTCAAGCGGAAGAGCTCGAGCTCGAAGCAGGATGCGTCAGTGTCCTCACCTGTCGTGCCCTCAGCGTCATTCGCGACTGTATCGTCTGCGTCGGAAGAGCAAGTGCCGGGCTCGCCACTCCACAAGAAATCGTCGCCGGAGTTATCGAGGAGTTTGAAGCGCGAGAAGCGCGGGTCGTCGAAGTTGCCGCCGAGGCCATCGACGGCGGGTGCGAGGATGAGCTCTTCGGAGCAGGGGAGCGGGTCGCGCCCGCCGTCGACGATAGCCATGCCTCCACTGCCGCCGTTACCTGGCTCTCCAACGTCTCCCAGTGAGAATGGGAGCGCCGCGCCGCTGGTCGCGAACGGCAAGGGTGCTGCGAACGGTGATGCTGCGCATGTTGAGGACGGCGCGCCCAGCACCCCGCAGGACGGCCTGTCAAGACGCTCGAGTCCTCAACCTATACCCCAACCTCCGGCCTCGCTTCCCGCGTCTGCGTCCGCGCCTGAACAAGGACACGGACACAGGCACGCACAGGGGTATAATCCGTTCTCGGCGTCCGCGGGATACGGCTTCTCGCCATCGTACGGGGGCGCGGGCGGGGGGAGCGTGGCGGACTCGCCGGCGATGCCGCCGAGCAGCAGCAGCGGGAGCGCGTCCAGCGGGGGCGGCGCGGCGGCGAACTGGAAGCGCGCGACGCGGAAGCTGAGCTTCACGGCGCCGATGCTGGGGCTCGGGCGCAAGGACCGGGATAAGGACCGGGAGCGGCATCGCGAGCGCGAGAAGCCCCCGACGTCGTTCGCGCGGTGACCTGTGATGCGCAGCCCTGTGCTCGCCCGCGCATGCACATTGGGCGTGGCGGAAAAGTATTCTTGTATGATGTGGTGCGGACAGACGGTGTATGTGCTGTGTTGCTGTTGCTGTTTATTTGATGTCTTTTTATGACCTTCGCCTTCGCCTTACCCCCCACGTAGCTCACTGTCCCGCTCGCCTAGTACCTGCCCATTACCCCCCATCGATCGCTACATATCCACTACGCATAGCTACTTATCATGTATTCGCTATTTGCTAACCAGGGCCGAGGTGTCACTGTAATCGCGCGTATGTTGTTCCGGTGGTCCGTGAGGCCTGAGGCTTGAGCGCTGTTCTTCGGAGGAGTAGTGAGTCTAATAGTTTTCCGTGTGCTGTCTCGTCAGCCGCTGCTCCATTGAGTGCGCAGTTTTCACAAGTGCTTGTTCTTGCATATATGAAATCGTGGATGGGTTCTTCGGAACTTGGAGAGCAGAGAGTGGCGGCCGGATCCGGAATATGAGGCCATAGGCGTCCCGCATACACTCGGCGTGATATATGTATATTGAAATCGTACAAAACTCTCAACGCAAACGCTATCTGCCATAGAATACACATAGCATCCAAGCGCAACGCAAGCGATTAGCCCCCCCACCTATACGTACACTAACTTGAAGGACGGTTAGCCGGGAACGTAGTACGTGCGCAACCAGGACAGCCCACAAGCATCTCTCCATCGACCCGTCATACGGAAGGTGTATACTCACGGTTTGTACCAGCGGCCCCTCTCTCCGCATCGCGTCCCTCCAGACCCTGTCCACAATTGCCTTCGCCGCCGCGCGCGCGCGTGCTCGTCGCGCCCACGCTGCCCATAAACACCGAGCCCGGCGGGAATCCCGAGTCGCCCTCCGTACCCTCGGCAACGGGAACGCACAAGCACCCCGGACTGACTGCCTATGATACACCAAATTCTGAGCCAAGACAGTGAATGGGCGACTCCCGTTCTCGAGGCCAAAACACTTTGCATCCGCAGCGGAGACGATGGGAGGCCGCTCTACAACGACGGGGGCGGGAGCCTGGCTGGACGCGAATGGGATCCATTTGCCAATGGCCATTCTGTTGGCTCAAGAGAGAGGTCTTGAGCTGGCCGAGGGCGGGCAGGGGCGCCAGGGCGAGGAGGCGAGGGTACGAGTGGGCGGGCGAGGAACGAGCGAACGAGCGAACGAGCGAACGAGTGGACGCAGCGAGAGCCACAAAGCAAGGGAGGGAAGCGGGCGACCTGAGGAGCGCATGGCGCGATGGAGTGAACGTATGTATTAGCAACTATAGCTAGATGCAGTGAGTGAACGAGCGGGTAGCGTACCTGAGCAAACATGCAAATCAATGCACAAGGACGAGCAGAGTCTGGCCGAGCCCATAAGTGGCACTAACTACGCTGTATCAAAGAAGGCGCATCGTGAGGTAGATAGTACAAGCGCATCATGGACAATTCACAAACAGGACACGGCTCCTCGAACGTCAATTGGCCATAATGCGCTATGTGAAGATTGACGCCATTCAGCGGCCGTCCATCCGGCATCGCATCCCGCCACACCCAGTCCACGACCCGCTTCACGGCTGCTTCCGTGAGGTGCTCTGTCGTGAAGCCCACGCCCCCTCTGATCACGGCGGTCAACGGGAGTGCCGGGTCGACCGGCGGGGAAGTGCACAGACATCGTGAGGGTTCGAGCTGCTGCACGTCCCCCTCGACGGTCTCCAAGCGGGCAAACCGGGGTGTCTTGCCCGAGCCCGAAGACCCATCTCCACTCGCCCCGCCGACGCAGGGGAACTGGTAGGTGAGGGTCACGGAGATACACGTCGTCGCGGTGACGTACTTTCCGGCCGCCTCTACAAGCGCATCCACGCGCTCGCGCGTCACCCCCCGCGCATCCATGACCGTGATGTCCGCTTGGAATATCGCGGGGTCGTGCATGATAAGCCCTATGCACTCGGAGAAGCGCTCTACGGCATCTGGGTACGTGAGCGCCCCGGAGACAGCCTCGAAGTGGGCCTGGTACGGCTTCATGTAGGCCACTTGCCAGCCCTCGGCGAGCATGTCGATGAGCAGTTGCCTCCACGCAGGATCGTCTGCCGCTGCAATGTTGCTGAGCAGCACATCCTTCGAGTATCTGTAGCCAAACGACGCGATCTCCGTTCTGTACGTCGTGTTGACGGCGACCGCGTTCCGCATCGTAGTGGTGGCCGCGGGGACGCCGAAAATGCGACAAGTCTTCAGCGAGAAGGGGGGTAGGAGATATATCCATTCGTACAGGTGTTCCTGGGGGTACGGTGCGCAGTGCACGACGGTCAAGTGGCGCACGTGGCGGCGGAGGTCCGGGTTATTCAACAGGGTACGGGCAAGAGAGCGCGAGAAGGGTGAGGACGTGTGGAGGGTGACTTCCCGGTAGGACGCGTGCGTTGCGTTCCGATGCCATTGTGTGCAAACGAGCCCTGCCTGCGCGGCGTCCGCCGGGTCGAGATAGGAGAATATGTCGTACAGGATGTCGTCCGGTAGCCACGACTTGTTCCGAGGCGCGCCAAGCGGTTTCTGATCGAGCCGTGCAAGAGCGAGTCCTACAGCATGCAGAGATGCGAGGCCGAGTACGACTGCGAGAGGCTCAAGGGAGTCGGAGGTGCTGCTGGTGATCGATCCGTCAGCCTGTTAATTATGACTCAACCAACATCAAGGATATTGTTTCACTTACGTGGTAATATCCCGCGTCGAGAATGGCGCAGGTAGGAACGGCCACGGGCCCATAATAGTCAAGCTGCCAGATGTATGATCACTGACACTCGCGTTCTAGGTGTGAGTGCGGGACGATTATGGGTACTGCAGTTCTAAGCTAGGCGTATCTTCTGTATTGGTGCGTATACGTAGCTCGTGATCGCGCGCTGGGAGAACTTGGCTCCGAGTTGGATGTTTAGAGAGGCGGTGGTGGTGGTCCGGGTAGAAGAGGGCCGATCGAGCCTAGGATACATTAGCGCCAGATGTTCGCTAGTAATGCTGGCGTCTGTTTTGACTTTGTTACCAGTTCCAACAGATAATTTTAAACATCCCGCCGCTGTGGTATGTACCGGCAGTACTGGAACGTTGGACGAGCGGTCGAGAGCCAGAAACTAGTCTCAAGCTTGGTGGTTGCGGTAAGTAGGCTGGCCGGAGCGGCGCGGCCTGTCAGCACTTTGGAGCAAGTTCGATCTCCGGCATTCCCACGCATACAGTCTGTTTGTAAAGGGGTTATCATCTGGTTAGAACTCAAGCTTCGCTCTCTATCGTAGCTGCGTACAAGCGTAATGATCGATATCACTCTTTACACTCTTCGTCATCTCCATTGCGCGTTCAAATTTCAAACCTGACCAAAGGGACGACCTGTTTGAAAACCTTGACTGATGTCTCCAAATGCACACATCCATCATGTCCTCAGAAGTGCTTGTGAGTGTCGTACCTCTACACGATCACAGACGACGAAGCTCACGATTAATGCTACGATTGCATCATGTATCGCCTTTACGCCAGGCCAACTTCCGATAGAAATCGTCGAGGACATCGTTGCCGAGGCCTGGAAGTCAGCCTCTAGCGCGAATGAGCGCCAGCACCTCTACTCCTCACTCAAACAAGCGGACCCTACTCTTGGGGATGTCATTGGCCGAGTCGCGATACGCTATGTTACCCTCGCAATGCCACTATATTCCACAGAGCCATCGGATCATACCCTGTACTCCGATATCGTCCGCGAAGTGGAACACACGCAACCGGTCGACGGTCCGCCCGACCATGCTCCCAGTACCGCCGATCAGCACTTTAGAGCGTCCCATCTACGTCTAGATATGACAGATGTACGTGGAGGCACGACAACCGATTGCGGCATCCGTGTGTTCGAAGATCGCGGTGGACCGCTCTACTCGATCCTAAACTCTGTCTCGTCCATCACCCTCGCCTCCCTACTTCCCATCCCAGAACGAGACATTCGCCGGCTCGTAGGAGACAGCTTTATCCTGGGCACGCTGCGAGAAATGGAGATTGTTTTCGGCCTGCTCGCCGACCTTCCCCGCCTCACATCCCTCTACCTTGAATACGACGTCGGCGTCCACAGCGCCCGCCTCGGCAAAGGCCCAATGCCCCCCATCGCGTTCACGGCCCTCACGTTCCTGCGCACCCGTACGTGCCCGTGCTGCGGCCTCCCGCCCCACACGTACAACGCGCCGTACGACGGGAGCCGCGGGCACGCAGCCGAGTGCGCGCGGGGAGCGTTCGCGCGCATGTTCCCGCGCCTCCGCGAGCTGTGGCTCGACGCGCCGCTGTTCCTGCGGTACCTCGTCGTGCCGCCGTCGCTGGAGAGCATTACGCTCGACGCGCCGCCGCCGGCGAAGCTGTTTTGCTCGATTCAGACGTACAACGTGGCGGCGGGCTTGCGGCGCTGGATGGAACCTCGGCAGGATGCCGCAAGTGGTGAGGCCGCGAGGATGCGGCTGGAGAAGATTGTCGTTCGTACCGGAGGAGTAGAGCCGATTGGGTGGCGGCAGGCTCAGGAGGCTTGTGACAAGTACGGTGTCGCGTTCGTCAGAGAGGTTCATTACGTGTAGGTTGGGGCCGGCATACATCGTGTACGAAAGGAGTCAGACTGCTCTCTGCATTACGGCTCACCTTTCTAGTTTGCACAGGTATGTGAGCAAATCCTCTTCATCATGTGCGAACGTTACCTCATGTGGGCCACCATCATGTCCGTTGAACACGCCCGTAAACCGTCTCGTCACTCACGCTCACCCCGGTACTTATTCCACGAGGAGTAAAACACGACCGGCAGTTGCAGCCTTACGTGCCTGCGAACCAGAATGCAGGCCTTCAAGTTGCCGGTGCGTGTTCGCGTGTCTGTTCTCAAAACTTTGCGATCGGCATTGACGTACTTCCGACGCTGGAGAGTGTCGCGACTGTTACGCTGCCGTCGGGAGAGCAGGGCTGCGACGCGCCGATAGGGCTGCGACACCGACACAGGGCGATGCGCGAACAAGGCGAGGCCACTAAGGTGACCCTCTACGTGTAAGTCCCCGATAGGATACAGCGTACACGGCTTGCTTGTCTGGTTCAGAAGTTACGTGAGCTTGAAATCGAAGCTCACTGCGTATGAGCGGAGCCCGCGCGACCTGGGAATATGCCTCCATACGGACTAGACTTCCGCTCCACCGTCCACCCGAGTTGCTTCGACCATGGCGAGGACGATAGATGCTGAGAGGCCTGCAGGATCCTCACAGTAGGCTCATAGAGGTGCAGAGACGCCGTGGTTCGCCTGAGACGCGTAGAGGACGCTGCTTGGCTTAGGGCCCCACAGACCCACAGGAGCCCACAAGACGATCTGAAGCGGTCTCGTCCAGCCTCGCCCTCGTCAAGGTGTGAAGTGGACGCTTGGAAAGGCAATCCAGAACCCATTTCGAGAACAGACGTGATCGGGCTGATCATCTCTCTCCTGTCGGAGTCCCAGCAAGTATCCGCGCCGCCAGAGTTCGGATTCGCATGGGTGTTGGAAGGAGAGACGACTGGGATCTGGGACGATGCTCGGGCGAACGGATGGAGTGGAAGAGGTACTGTGAGGTACGCAGAGGCACGAACAAGGGCACCAGGGTCGGTGCCGAGTAGCCGGAAGGAAATGGCCGGTTAGCGCGCGCGGATTTGAGGTGAGCCGCGTGGCTGACATAAGACGGAGATGATGTCACGGCTCATATAGAAGGCACATGGGCTCTGTTCAGGACGGCTGAGCTGTGTATGGTCCGTGGCTTGCCCGTGGGACGCCCCCTCACACTCGCCCCCTTCCTTCGTCCACACCATCCGTCACGGCGAGCGACCCTTCCCTTCCGTCGTCCAGGCCTACGCCATGGACTCGCTCACAGAGCGCAGGCTCGTTCCCCAATGGGCTCCAGAGGTCCGTCCCGCCTCTTTCTCCCCAGTGCCCGAACAAACTAATTCAACGTTCTTTCCCTAACACGTAGCTCGTTGCCCTTTCCTACCTGATCTCGTGGCTAGGCGCATATACCAGCACGCAAATCATGATACACGCAAAGTACACCCGCAGCACCGTCCTCAAATGGGTCTGGACCTTCTTCGCCAGTATTGCCTTTGGTTTCTGTGCAATATGGTCAATGCACTTCGGTACGTTTACACGCTCTGGTATTATTTATCGCGGTTGCAGTTGCACGTGGCAGACATCCCGTATATGCCCCGCCTCCCTTGCACCTACGCACGAGGCTGGTATAGCTTGATTGCCAGACGTGCCGCAGGATGTCTTCGGGCTTCCATTCACAGTGGAAATATAGTGCTCCTATCGCGCTATATGCGCGTCCAATCTTCCACATAAAGTTCACGTCACTAACATCATAAATCGCAGTTGGAATGCTCGCATGTGGCCTCGACGTGGAAGTTCGCTTCAACATATTCTTGACCATTGTATCCGCCGCCGTCGCCGTGCTCTTCACCTTTGCCGCGCTTTCCAGCCCGTACGCATCAGAGACAATCGAAAACTCGGCGCCTATGCGCACGCTAGCCAAATGGAACCACGAGATATACAGCGGTGTCGCGAACATTTTCACGGGGCACCCCTCCCATGATTTGGAGGCGGGTTATGCGCCCCTACAAACTACTTCTGCAGAAGACATCCCCTCAGTTCCTCCAGGCGTAAGGGTCGCGCTCGATCAAGACGACATCGACATCAGCAGCGACGAGGACGAAGAAGAGCGTCAAGAATCTGCTCCTGTAGAGCAGAGACGAGACGAAGACAGCGGGAGGCTAATATACGCCACTGCCAGCGGGGACTCGTCGACGCTCCCGACGCACCGGCGAGACTCCTTCACGCAGCCCGAGAACGGGCGTAAGTCCTCCAAGTCTCCGGTCGCGCGGCGCTCGGCCCGGCACCGTCTTCTGCACCGCGTGCTGTCGTCGTCGACCACGCGCCGCACGTCCCAGGACTCGACGCCCAGCAGCACCTCGACGACGACGACCTCGAGCTCCGAGTCGTCGTTCACCCGCAACCTCTCAGGTACGACGCTTGCTACCTCTTCATCAAGCTCGTGGAGCGAGCCCCTCCATCCAGGACTTAGCCGGGAGACGCGGTTGAGGATCAAGGCCCGCGCGAAGGAGCGCCCCCCGCCGGAGTTCGGCTGGCGGTATTGGATTAAGACGCACTACGAATCGGTCACCATATTTTTGTGCCTCCGCGCCGCGATATGGGCCGGGGCCATCGTATTCATGCACTACTGCGGTACGAGTATCTACTTCGTTCAACGCGTGGATTGTTGGCTGAGCCGCCATCGCTTCAGGAATGTGGGCAATGGAAATACCTTCCGGGCGAATTTCGTGGGATATGGGCATCGTCGCCTTGTCCTATGCAGTCGCATACAGCGTCTGTTTCATCGGGTGCATATTCATGATACACATGGAGTCGCACTTCGGACGGCAGATGGTGTTCAGCACGATCGCGTCCATCGGTTGTTGCTCGATGCACTACACCGGTACGGTTCCCACGCCGCTGCTCCGGATACCATGCTCACTTCTTCGCAGGAATGGCAGCGGCCACTTTCTATACATACGCTCCCGCATCGCCCAACGCCGGCTACCCCCAGTTCCTCCCGATCACAATCGTCGGCATCGCCGTATTGGTATGCGTCGTGTCCAACGCGATACTGGCGCATGCCGCCATCACAGCGCGCAACCGGATGGCAGAGATCATCCTTACAAAGCGGAGGCTCTGGCGCATCATGGCGGAGAAAGAGGCCGCCGAGCAGGCGATCGAGCTTAAGCAGCAGTTCATCTCCGTCGCCAGTCATGAGGTGAGTAGCCGTACATTTCGTCAGTGACGCGTCTCATTGGTTCGGGCAGATTCGCACGCCTCTGCATACCGTGAACGGGTATTGTGAGCTGCTGGTGAGGACACCGTTGACAGATGAGCAGTCTCTGTATGTCACTAGCATACAGCAAGCTTGTCATGCGATCAACATCATAGCCGGGAACGTTCTCGGTAGGTGTCTCCCCATGTATGCGCCGATTTCATACTAATTGACTATTGTTCGCGGTTCGCGCATAGATTTCAGCAAGGTCCGTCTACTTCGTGTGTTTGATTAACATGCTGGACAGGCTCTGAGCGATTTCTAGCTTGACCGGAACAACGCCGAGTTATCGGCGCGCCCAGTACACATGGAAGTCCGCAAGATGATCGAGGACATCGCCAAGATTACAGAGGCGCGGGGTCTCCAACCAGGACAGCAAGGCGTAGACATTATCGTCTGGATCGCGAAGGACGTGCCCCAAGCTGTCTACTTGGATGAGACATATGCGTTCCGGGTAGGCACTTCTCCATGACGTGTTGTCGAAACGTGCTAACCGCTATTTTTAGATCCTCATGAACGTGAGTAACATGAGCGCACTGTCGCCGACATCTCTGACATATTGCACCCCCAGCTGCTGTCGAACGCCCAGAAGTTCTGCGAAGAGGGCTATATCTGTCTCGCAGTCTCCATGGAAGGCTCTACGCAGCTCGTGATCAGAGTCATGGACACGGGCTGCGGCATCCCGAAGAGCTTTCGCGGCGCGCTCTTCGAGCCATTCCGGCAAGCCGACACGTCGCTGACACGCCCCCGGCAAGGCACTGGGCTCGGGCTCAGCATCGTCAAGCACCTCGTGCAACGCATGTCCGGCACGGTGGAGGTGGAGTCGGAAGAAGGCGATGGCTCGACTTTCACTGTCAAGCTCCCGGTCACCTTGCCGTCGCGCTCGCCTTCCCCAACGGTTCAGTACGGCCCGCCCTCGGCGAGCAAGCGGCTGCGCATCGTGTACCGGAACGCGCGCACGCAAGATCGCTTCATCCGTCTCTGGACGCGGTACGGCTACAACGTCCTCCCCGGCTCCGCGACCTCATCCGCCTCGGACCTCGCAAAGGACGTCGACGTCATCTGGACGGACGCAGAAACAGCCTCCCAATCCCCCTCCCTCCGCAGCCTCCTCATCTGCCCCCAAGCCCACACTGCCACCCTCTTCATCGTGCACTCCGACGCGCAGGACGCCGCGCTGCTCGAGCCCGAGCTGCGCGACGCGCGCAACGCCGTGCTCGTCAAGCGCCCCGTGATCATGCACACCGTCGTCGAGTGGATCGAGAACCCCGCGGAGCACCTCGGGCGGCACGTTCGCAACAAGGTGCGCTTCGCGCTGCCCGGGGAGTCGCTGCCGGGGTCGCCGTCGTCGAGTCCGGTGGAGAAGAAGATGGCGGTGCGGGTGGACGTCGAGCCTGTGAGGAGCTCGGATGATATTCCGCTCACGCCTATTGCTTCTGGGAAGCGGGTTGCGGATGAGGAGAGTGCAGAGGATGCTTCGTTGCCCCGGGATCGGATTCTTTTGGTAGAGGACAACATGGTGAGCAGAACACCGCGCCTTGTAAGCACCGCGAACGGCCACTGAATTGTACGCTCCAGATCAACCAGAGACTAGGCTGCCGGCTACTAGAGAAGTTGGGCTACGAAGTAGTGACCGCGAACGACGGCAAACTGGCCATTGACGCCATCCGCAAGGACTACTTCGCATGCTGCCTCATGGACTGCCAGATGCCAGGTTCGTCGCCTGTCTTCTCATACTGACCCCTCATGCTGACGATTCCGCAACAGTACTAGACGGATTCCAGGCGACGAAGCGTATACGGGAGCTCGAAGACAGCGGAGAGCTGCCCGACCATCTACCCATTATCGCGCTCACTGCGAACGTCACGCAGGAGAGCGAAGGTGATTGTAAAGCTGCAGGCATGGATCACTTCTTGCCGAAGCCCTTGAAGATGGCCGGTACGTCTCTTCGCAATATTTTTGTGTCGATCACGTACTCATTCTTTCTACAGACCTAGAATCGACGCTCAAGCGGCTTCGACGGACATTGCCTCGTTAACGGCGCCCCTCCCCTCCTTCTATCTATCTCCTACCTTACACCTCTCACTCGGACTTCTCGCACTCGCATCTCTCCCCCATATCTCACCGCATCTATACATAGTATATACTCCCGCAGTACATAGTATCGCACGCATCGCTATCCTCACGCTATCTCCATCGCTCATATATCCACCGCATGTATCGTTATTTGTAGGAGTTCTCATATTACCGTAGATCATTGTACGTGCGCTGTGTAGTGTCGGTGCACTTTTGCATTTGGCCAGTAGGCCAATTTCACTGGATTCCCGCTGCTTCTGCTAGTGTGTCTGCTCCCTATGAACGCGCCAACATATAACACCCACTGCCCTTACCCTCGTCCTCGCTTTCGTCCGCCGCGGCCTCCTGGCGGCCAGATCTCCCTCCCCCTGGTGGGCAGCGCTTTGGCGGCCCGAGATCCGGGCCGATCTATGAATCTACTCGGTAAAGTTTGTAGGCGCCCGCATCTCTGCTTCGCTCATCCACGACTCACTCTGCCACACGGTGTCACCTCTGCGCCTCGAAGCTCTGACTGAACTGTGAACTGGGATTCTAAGCTTTACAAAGGATACCCAACTCATAGCTCTCTCTCCTGACACGACTAAAAATAGCTACCCTGCTGTCCCGCATCCAGCGAGGCCTCTCGCGTCCACTGCTGCCCGCACTTGTAAATATCATCATGCCCGGGGTCACGCTGGAAGGCTCGGGCGCGCGGAAGCTCGGGGGGTATGAGTTCTTTGAGAAGGTGCTGAGGAGCCCGAAGTTCATCGTCGCGCCTATGGTGGACCAGAGCGAGTTGGTACGTTTATGTGTCTTGTGCTTGAACTTGGGGCTCTCTGTGAACGCAACTCTCAGGCATGGAGGAAACTGTCGAGGAGATACGGTGGGCAGGTGTGTACTACCTCAACAAAGAATTCCTTCCCAGATCGTCTGACATAGTCTTCAGGTGGTGTACACACCCATGATAAATGCCAAGGTAAGAGCAAGCCCAGAGCTCCGCTGCACCCCGCGAACCTACAACCCCGCCTAGATGTTCGCCGAAGGCAACCGCAAGCCCTACCGCGAACAAAACTTCGACACCATCCACGGCGAAGAAGGCGGGCCCGAAGACCGGCCCCTAATCGTGCAGTTCTGCGCGAACAACGCCGCGCAGCTGCTCAAGTCCGCGAAGCTGCTCGAGGCGCACTGCGACGCGGTCGACATCAACCTCGGCTGCCCGCAGGACATCGCGCGCCGCGGCCGCTACGGCTCGTTCCTGCAGGACGAGTGGGAGCTCATACACGAGATGAGTGCGTGCGGCGTTCTTCTCGCGCGTTTCGGGCGAGTGCTCATTGTTGGATGTGTAGTTAGTACGCTGCATAGGGAGCTGTCGATACCGGTGACTGCGAAGTTTCGCGTGTTCCCGACTGTCGAGAAGACGGTGGAGTACGCGAAGATGCTGGAGAGCGCGGGCGCGCAGATCCTGACATGCCACGGCCGTACTCGCGAACAACGCGGGCAGCGCTCCGTTAGTATCAGCATACATCCAGGCCTGTGTTACTCTAATACGCTCCCGACAGGGTTTGGCAGACTGGGAGAAGATCCGCGCCGTCAAGGAGGCGGTCTCCGTGCCCGTCATCGCGAACGGCAACCTGCTGTTCTACGGCGACATCGAACGCTGTCTCGCAGCCACCGGCGCGGACGCCGTAATGTCCGCCGAGGGGAATCTCTACAACCCCGCCATCTTCATGCCCGCCCCTTCGACGTCCGAATCGCCGTCCGCTTCGACTAGCTCGGCACATACCTCCGCATCCTCAATAGCGTCGATGTATCTCACAGGTCATCACCCACGCAATACAACGCTCGCGCTGGAGTACCTGTCCATTGTCAAGTCGCAGAAGACAATGACGACCCCTAGTTCAGTCAAGGGGCACCTGTTCAAGCTCTTGCGACCCGCCTTGGGCAAGTATACCGACCTCCGAGAGCGCCTTGGGAAGGTGCGCGTGGAACGGGCGGAGCGGGACAAAAACGGCGCGTGGGACAGGTACGAGGAGGTCATCCGGGAGCTGGATGAACGGTTAGAGGTATGTCACAGCAGTACCCAATAACGCTGACCGCTGACTCGCTTTGGCTCCCAGCTCGACATCGAGGCCGCGAAGGGGAAGTCCTTAGAGGAGCTTTCGCCGATCGACGAGGCGACTGGGTTTCCGATCCTCCCGCACTGGTTGGTACAACCGTACATTCGCCCGCTGCCCAAGGAACCGGAAGCGGCGCAGCCTCCACAAGAGACCAGCAAATCTGGTGTAGCGGTTGTCGGTACGTAGCGTCAGACATCCAGCGGGGGCATTGTGCTCATTCAACAGTAGCGATGGACTGCAGCGTAAAAGATTCTGCGACTCGTGGCTCGAAACGACCAATATCGGAGGAACCTGCGGTGGCAGCAAGTTCGTCTGCACAGACAGAGGCCCTCGAAACGAAACGACCAAAGCTGTCGTCAGATGAGGACACTGTAGATCCGAAGAGGATAGACGGCGACGCTCCACCTGTAACCGCAGGATGAATCTATCGGTGACTCCTCGTGGTCTGCCTAGCTGTACGGGTTTCAGTGCTGTATTCACCAGGCGCTACTGCATGTTCTTCTGGGTTCCTGGTTTACGTTACGGGCCGGGTATGTTCTCGCAACGTCTCGAACGATCGGTGGGTATCCAGCAAGATCTATGCGAGATCTCGCGCAGGAGTGATTCCGAATACGCCGCCACCGGGGTTGCCGCACAGGCGCCCAATTGAATCATGGGCGCCTAGCGTGCTTACCGCGATCGTCATTCGTTGACCGCCCGCGCCTCCCACCTCCCTTCTCTCACCTACACCACCATGTCCGACCCCCAACCTGCAGAAGCCTCGTCGTCCGAGATTTCCATCAACGTGAAAGGTACACCTCGCCCCCGCGCGCTGCTCGGATGCGACGATCGTTAACAAGCTTGCGCACCCTAGGACCGAGCGAGCTCAAGCTCCAGATCTCAATATCCACCGACAAGACCGTCACCGAGCTCAAGCAGGCCATCGCGGAGAAGTCCGATGTGCCCGCGGACCGCCAGCGACTCATCTATTCGGGTATGCGCCCCCTCTCCCTTCACGCACACACGCACCGCTAACATGGGTACGCCGGCCAGGCCGGGTGCTGAAGGACGAAGATGCGCTTGTCACGTACAAGATCCAGTCGGGGCACACCATCCACATGGTGAAGGGCGCCGCGCGCGCGGGCCCGTCGGCACAGGCAGCAGCGCCGCAGCAACTCCCGACGATGCAGTCGGGGCAGAACCCGCACGACCCGCTCACGCAGCTGAACGGCCCCATGGGCTTCGGGCTCATGGCGGGCTTCAACCCGTTCGCAGAGATGGGGCTCAACCCGAACGATCCTAACATGGTGAGTGTTTTGGTTTTGTGTGTGGGGAGCGGGGTGTGGGAGAGGGTGGCGGGGTCTGAGATAACAAGACTGGGAGGCAGCCTGTGATAGGGAGGGCGAATACAGGGCTCCTTGGCTCGGGCGTAATCGAAGGCAGAGGGTTTGCGACGACCAACTGCCGCAACTGTTCAGGAAGGCGGTCCGCTGATGACGTTGCTCACAGATGCAAACCATGCTCAACTCGCCCCAATTCCTGCAACAAATGTCGGGCGTTATGGCCAACCCCGCCGTGCTCGACCAGATCATCGCCTCCAACCCCCAGCTCGCCGCGATGGGTCCTCAAGTCCGCGAGGTGTTCCGCAGCGAGCGGTTCCGCCAGATGATGTCGAACCCGGAGACGCTCCGGATGATGCTCCAGATGTCGAGCCTCATGCGCGAGTCTGGCATGGGCCCCGGCGGCGGTGCACCAGGTCTCGGCGGGCTCGGTGCACTAGGTGGGCTCGGGGGTGCTGGTGCAGGCAACGGCGGCTTCCCAGCCCCGGGTCTGCCGTCAACGGCGCGTCAGCAACAACAGGGCGAAGGCGCAGAGGCGGGCGCGCAACAACCAGCGGGGTCGCCGCCAGCAGCAGGCGGATTTCCGAACTACTTCTCTCCGTTCGGCGCGTACCCGCCCGCGCCCGGGACACCTGGAGGAACCGCTGCTGGAGGTGATGCGAGTGCGGGACTAGGTGCAGGAGCAGCACCGGGACTGGGCGGTGCGGGCATGTTCGATCCCGCCATGATGCAGCAGATGCTGGCAGCAATGGGCGGCGGCGGTAGCCCAGGTGCGGCTGCCAACCCGTTCGGTGGTCTCGGCGGGTTTGGTGCTGGGGGCCTTGGTGGGCTTGGTGGGCTCGGTGCGGGGGGACTGGGTGCTTTCGGGGCCCCGGCCGCACCTGCGAATACCCAACCCCCAGAAGAGCGGTTCCAAGTCCAGCTACAGGTATGTTGCTTTGGGTTTTACAAGAGATGAACGCGCTGACGGGTTTCGCAGCAATTGCAAGATATGGGCTTCACGAACGCGTCGCAGAACGTCCGGGCGCTGCTCGCGACGGGCGGGAACGTGCATTCGGCGATCGAGTATATCTTGTCTGGCGGAGGGTTGTAATTGGTGTACGAAACTAGACGGGCAGCAGTTCTTGGGAGATGTTGTACGAAGTACGGAAGGACAAATGTTACACCACTTGCAATATCGTTGGTGTGCACCGCTAGCGATGGCGTCATGGCCTGACATTATCGCACTGCATACTGCTGAAAAAATACGTACGTGTGCAGCTGCGCGATTTGCACAGCACTCAGGAATATCGTGTTCTGTATCGCCTTCTTCCTTTCCTTCCATAAACGGAAAGGGAATCTGCCGATCCGCGAGCGTACACAATATTGCGCTGGAGTGCTCTGTGGTTGACACCCTGCACTTAACATCCCCTCGTCCACAGCTCCGTCGTCGCTCCTTGTACGCTTCCACCTCACCACTCAGCGCCGCGATCCATTCCCTTGCCAAAGGTTCACCCGCTCGACGGGCGTGTACTGCAGCATAGCCCCGTGCGGGGCGTGCAAAGAAGCGAGGCAGTGCGACATGGCGTCTATCCGCCAATTTAGCCTCCGTGCACAGTACGGCAGGGTCGGGCCCTTGTCCTCTCCTGTCCCCCCTCCTCCCCCAACTCTGTGTGCTGCCTGTCGACCCTTATAGGCGGCCTGTGCGACTGTCTTTTCTGTACCATCTCTCACGACGCGCTCTCGGCGACTGAAAGGCCTCTGCTGTGGGCGGTCCCACTAGATCCTGACCGTGATTGGTGGCTGGAGCGTACCACCCAAGACGGGAGTCTGCGATGCATTCCGCCGAGTGAGTCATGCGCTACCTACCACATATACATCCCTTCTCACCGCCGTCGTGTCCCACCCTATTCAGGCCGTGGCAGCTTACTGGTACGTACCGGACTCCGAACTTCGCGCGCTGCCGCCCCTTCCCCGGACTCGGACGCGTTGCTGACTCGCCCCGTCCACCAGTGATCCGGACGCGCGGGCTGCTCTTCGTGCGCCCGGAGAAGTCGTGGCGGCCGATCGTGACCATCTCGGTCCAGGACGACGGCCATGACCACGGTCTGCCGCATGAGATCGTCCTCGGTTCCGATGGGCAGAACCCGAACTTGAAGTCCGTCATACAAATGTGGGTAGTTTCTTCATGCGTTCCCTCATTTATAGCGATGCTACCGTGGCTTTGTGGTGAACTTTGGGCTCTTGTATCCTTTGCCTCTGCTGGTGATATCGACCCGAGGCCGTGCTGGTGGCCAGTATCACTTATTCCAACAACATGAGGCTCGGCTAGTCAACTGGTGCTACACTCATGTTCTACTGGAATCAGACATAGCCTGTCTTTGCATCTTCAGCCCTTGGTTGCTTGCGCGATGTCTTTATATGTCAGAACACAGCGCTCATTCGTCTGCTCATTTACAGCCGCGACGTAAAACCCTCAACGCGTCTTGTCTTCCAAGTATACCATAAATCACAAACGAAGAAGAAGCACCGGAAACGTACCCTCGTCGGGTCCGCCAACCTTTCTCTAAACGAGTTTCTCAATCGTCATCCTCTCCCACACCACCGACCCGTCGAGTACGACGTCCGCCTATCCTGCCCACCTCCACAGCGGAAAAGCCCCACCATAGGTGGAAAGCAGCAACATAGTGCCGCACTCACTCTCAAATTCGCGGTTCCCCTTCCCGCGCACGTGGGCCACCCCTCGCGCCCCGGCTCACCTCTCTCCGATGGACATCTAGACACCGATGGGATGTTTTCGGACGGAGCGTCATGTATGTTCAGCTGCTTATGTGTGCAGAAGGACCACGACTAACCTGTTCTTCGTAGCTTCTAGAGGCCCTATTTCGGCTGTAACAGAAGATCCCGCCTCCGAGAGGCCATGGGAGCGGCCACCTACTCCTGAAACTCTAGGTGGATCGACCGGCCTCAGGCGCCGGCGGCGGAGGACACGGGGATTCCATGTCGATAGTGCCTCGGAGGACGGCATATACGAATCATCGGAGGACGAGCCGTGGATGCCGCCCACACCACCCGACGACTACTTCGACGGCGCGTTCGACGGCGGATCCGAAGACGCGTGCGGGAGTACACTACTGGGCACGGGCGAGGAGGCCGTGTGCTCTCCGTGTATACTGCCCATGCATGCCAACAGTGACCAGGAAAGCGTGTACAGCATGGAGCGTTCAGTCTCGTTCGCTGGGTCGGTCGTGGATAGCTTCGGCCCCTATCACGAACTGTGCGAGGCCGACAGAGAGGACGACGTCGAGAAGGTGGAGAAGGTCCTGGGGAGGCTTCTCACGGAGTGGTACGTCGTCGGCGCATCGGTAAGTCCTGTCGATCTGTGTTTGCAGTTACGGGACTCACGTCGGATTAGCTACTAGCTTTAGCCGGCATCGACGCTGCAGTCTTCGGATTCGAGTCCGACGCGACCTTCATCGTGGACGGCTTCGCGCGGAGCGTAGTCGCCATCGGCGCGATCGCGGCAGGCATCGGCCTCGTCAGCGACGCGTGGTTCCTCGTACTATACAGCGGCGCCAACGCCGTCAAATTCCAGGTAAGCCCCTACCCACAAATTCACCACGCCAGCGCGCTCACCGCCTCTCCCCTTCTCAGCGCCTCGCAAAAGACGTGTACGGCTCGTACTTCTTCTTCTGCCTGACGTGCCGGCTGCCGACGATGTGCATGTTCGTCTCCACGCTCGCGCTCATGCTCTTCCTGCTGGGCGTCGCGTGGACCGCGTGGCCGACGGCGGTGCTCGTGATGTCGTTCGTCGCGGGCGTGCTGCTCTCGTCCCAGTTCCTCGTGTTCGGCATCCACCGCGCGGTCAACTTCGTCGTCTGGGCCGTGCGCGTTACGTGGCGGAAGGTCGCGGGCGCGCGGCAGTCGGCGAAGGGACAGCCTGGCGCGCCTTTGTCGCAGTCTCAGCCTCATGCGTCGCAGCCTCAGCCTACGAGTCAACTCCATCTCCCAGCCGCACCACGTCCGGTCCACCACGACGGAATCCAGATGCCTGTACCCGAGCCCGCCGAAGCAGCCTAAGCAGCTTCCTTTCGCCTGAGCTCCCCTAATTCAAACCAGTACGTCGTACTGTTTAGTCAAATCAACCCCATTTGACCTTCGATTACAATTACAGTATACGTATGTCCCCCTCGCGCGGGCTAAAACGTCTACCACGGCCGACCGCAGTAACACCGACGCGACCGCAACCCGTAGCGGAAGTGCGTCAGTCCCCGAGCGCCGCGCGGTAAAGCTTATCTTTAAGGCGCGGTTTGTGCCAACGCCCCCAACACGACACGGCACACATCTTGATGACCACTGAACCCTGTGTACTACGCACGTATTGCAGATACCTGTTGTACTCTAACACCGGCACCGCAAGGGACCTCCCGCCACTCGGAAATAGCGAAGCTTTTGGGTGCCGTGGTCAGGACCTTAGGCCCTTGTCGCGCAGTCTACCGTAGCTATGTACTGCGGAGACACCGTGTGTCCATCTCTTGCGATATGTTTTGTAGTGTTTGAACGCGAATACCACCGCGAAATGGCATAGGTCATGAGAAGCATCTGTTAGCTTGATCTCTATACAGTGAAGAGCGGCTGCTCGTAATAAAAACGACCGTCCAAGTCGCAGCAGCGTGAACGACATGAACCAAAAATGGAGCGGGCTGGGAGCGGAGAGCGGGCGCCTGGTAAATGACGCGCAGAACGGGCGCTCTTGTGCATAATTGACTTCTCACCGCCCTCGACGACGGGCGACTCCTGCGCTCCGTCCCCCAGCCTCTCCTTCCTCTCTCCCGGATGGCGTCCCCGATGTACGCCCAGCCGCAGCCACGACAACCAGCCAACTTCATCCCCAGCTACGACCAGCGCCGCCAGTCTCCCGCCCGCGAGCCGATACCCGCATCCCGCCCGCCCTCCCAGTACTCCCCGTACCAACAGCCGCCCCGCCAGTCCCAGTACGACGACCTGTCCTACGACGGCGAGGGAGACGGCGATGCAGACGACTTCTACCAGTCGCAGTCCCAGTATGATCAGCCCTATGCCACCAGGTCCATTGCCACCCAGTCCGTCCGCGCACCGTCCCCCACACAGACCGCCCCCATCCTCGATCACTCCCACCTCCGCCCGGGCAACCAAGCCGCCCTCCTCTCGCACGAACGCACGCTCGAGCTCTACCGCACGAACGCGAAGAAGACGCAGGACCCGGACCTGCAGTTCGAGTTCGCCGTCTTCATGGTCGACGCCTCCAAGACGATGCCCATCCCCGCCGCGACGCCCGGGAACGTCATGGACGTCGAGAAGGCGATCGCGAAGCGCGACGACCTCGTGCACGAGGCGACGGGCCTGCTCAAGCGGCTCGCCGACCGCGGGCACATGCCCGCCCAGTACTTCCTCGCCGACTGCTACGCGAACGGGATCGGCACGCATAAGGGCCGCCAGGACTTCGACCGCGCCTTCCCGCTCTTCGTCCTCGCCGCGAAGCACGGCCACCCCGACGCCTCCTACCGCGCCGGCACGTGCTGCGAGAACGGCTGGGGGTGCCGCCGCGAGTCCGCCAAGGCCGTCCAGTTCTACAAGAAGGCTGCTGCGGCGGGACACCCGGGCGCGCTCTACCGTCTCGGGATTGCGGAGCTCAACGGAGAGCTTGGGCTCTCGAAGAGCCCGAAAGAGGGTGTCAAGTACCTGAAGCGATCCGCAGAGCACGCGACGGCCGAGTTCCCGCACGCCTTGCACGAGCTCGCGCTGTTGCATGAGCGCGGTATCGACAACGTCCTCTTCGTCGACTACGAGTACGCAGCGGAGCTGCTCGCGCAGGCCGCAGAGCTCGGGTACGCGCCAAGTGCGTACCGGTTAGGCGAATGCTACGAGTACGGCAAGATGGGCTGCCCACAGGACCCTGCGCTCTCAATACACTACTACGTCAGTCCCTGCCCCTTGCAACAGCGCTATCCTGCACGCGTGCGTGCCCTGACACCGCATTCTTGTTGCAGAACATCGCTGCACAGCAGGGCCATCGAGATGCATGCTTCGCGCTCACTGCATGGTACCTCGTCGGCTCGCCCGGGGTGCTGCCGCAGTCGGACACGGAGGCGTACCTCTGGGCGCGCAAGGCGGCCGAGGCGGGGCTCGTGAAGGCCATGTACGCCGTCGGGTACTTCCTCGAGGTCGGAATCGGCACCGAGCCAGTCATGCCAGAGTGCGTCATCCCCCGCGCACCGTCGCGTCCTCTCCGCTATTTTTGTCAGATGCTGATCATATGCTGCGCTGCCCACCCATCCCCATCTGTCTTCGCTCGCGCTTCGCCCCTGCGCACAGAGCGATCCAGTGGTACAGGCGCGCGGCGGAGCAGGGCGACAAGCGTGCCGCACAGCGGCTCAAGGGCCCGCAGAACACGGCGATCGTCGCGCCCGGCGGGCCCGGGTCGGTGCTGCGTCGGGACGAGAACGGGAGCGATGCGGCGTCGGGGACGGGTAAAGGCGGGAAGGATAAGGACTGCGTGATTATGTGAGCGCGGTGCATCTGCGTCTGGGTGGGTCGCGCCGTCTATGTTTAGACGGGGGGCCCCAGTACTTATTTGATTCAGGTGAGGCGGTAGAGATTGAGTGGTTGTGGTCAGGCGGTTGGTAGGGAGTGTGCACGCGGACAGTTCGAGCAGACACCGAGGACTGACACATTATGAGGATTACAGCTTCTATTGTATACGAGCTAATACAAAGGCTCCGCCGCTGAAGGACACGTTCGTTTCGCGCAACTGCTAGAGAGAGGACATACCTCTGCACTCCGACATACCCCTACTGCAAACTGACGTCAAATCTTTCGTTGAAGCGGCGAGTAGTATCTTCAACTACCTACGTCAGTCAGCGTCCACCGGGTTTGCCATAGAGCCGGGCACAGTTTGAAAGGGCCATCGGCGGGAGTGTTGTAGTGTTCGGGAGAGATGAGGCTGAAGCGGACACGGTCGCCAGTGATACCAGAACAAGAGAGGTTCAAGTCCTCGATCACATCAACATCGGCAGCGGTCAGCGTGGTCTCGGTGCTAATGAGGTTGGTCGGATAGAGTTCAATGGTGAACGACGCGAGAGCGAGCTCCTGCACGATCTCAACAACCAGATCCTGGGGGTTCCCAGTCAGAAAACAATTCGCAATGAGACATATCAGAACACTGATAGCGTACCAGATTTCGTTGAACATTTTCTCGAGCAGAAAGATTATGCAACTCGATACCGAAAACGATATAGACGTCCTGGAGCCGCGGCGCAATAGATCTTGCACGGAGGAGCGCTACGAGCACCCCGCGATAGCCATCCATCGTGAGGTGCGTCCCATATCGCGAGTCGAGGGCGAGGGTGAGCCTCAGCGGCGCAATATCAGCAAAGATAAGGGGGAGGTCCTCGACAATTTCGTCCCGCGAGACGACGACATGTAGGGCCTCACACTGGCACCGCAGCCCAAGCGTGTAGAGCGCCTCCGCCGAGCCCTGGACTTCCCGCAGACTTCGCCAAAGGCCCGTCTCGTCCTGGGCGAGCTGGTTCTCCGCGCGTTCCTGCGCCCGTGAATAGGGAGAATGGCCGTGGGCGAAATACGCGCGGAGCCGCTGCAAGTGTGGAAAGTAGTGCATGCCCGTCCCCAGGGACATCTCGGTCCACGATACTAGCTGGGAGTCGCTCAGAATCAGGCTGTGTACTCGGGAGAACGACCGGGAGGATGGAGGGGGCGGGTCTATCCAGATGTGTGCAGCCTCGAACCTCCGCAGCGTCTCCGAAGAATGGGTCAGGACGGCGGGCAGCACGTCCGATGTGTACATGAAGTGGGTTTTCGAGTCCACGCGCAGGGTGTGGAGCTGGGAGCGCAGGTCGCCGAGCATCCGGTACGTCTCTTTCCCGACGTTGGCGATCGCGAGGTGTTTGATGCTCGAGCGCATCGCAATCGCGGCGCAGAGGTCGGGGTAACCGTTGATATCGTCCAGGTGCATGCACTCGATGTTGGCCATAGCGCGTATGAGGGCAGCGATCCGCTCGATGAGGTCCAGGGTGATTGAGTCCGCCGGGGACAGATGAAGAAATTTGACTAACGATGTTCGTTCGCCGCTATGCGACTGAACGAAGGCAGCGTAAGAGACGAAGTGAGCTGGCGTCTGGAGCGGTATGTCCATGGCGAGAAGTACCCGTGGGCCTTCGTGGTAGAGATCGCGGCAAGTGCGCATCATCGCGGACACGGTAGCCGCGGATGTCTCCGCTGCGGCAACCATAGCAAGGCATAGTATGTCGTGGTTCATTTCTTTCAGCTTGAGAGTTTTGTCTAGTTTATTCGCCGATGAGATTGGACTAGATGAAGCCAAGATGGGCCGAGTGACGAGAAACACCGATATTGTCAAAATAATGGGGTGCAGATCCTGCGGAACGGAATGCATACCTGATGAGTGCATCACGATGAGAAGACATCAGTTGTTCGGTGTAACGAAACAACACAGCTGGCAGTGGTAGTGGGGACAATGATAGAAGACGATAGACCGTGTCGACGGTGTCGTCGGCTGCGCGAGTGGATTGGCGGTGGTCACGACTCCCTTGTTAGGTGCTGTGACACATTAACCGGTCACAGCCTACTGCCCACTAGTAGGCTCAGGCCGCTGTGTATGTAGAATTCTGGCAGGCGCAGAGTGAGGAGCCGGGAAGGCATATCACGGACCAAGCTATACATATCCCTCCCGTCCTCGGCTAACGTTAGGTGCTTGACGCTTGAGCGTGTGGCGATGGCAGCAGAGAGGTCGGGATAGATGTTGATATCGGCCAGATACAGACGCTCCAGGTTGCTCATAGCGCGTATGAGGCCGGCGATCTGTCTGGCGACGTCGGCAGATACATTGTCGGGACGGCCCAGGAAGAGGGATCTCACTAACGGCGTGCGCTCGCTAGCGTGGGCTCCTAGGAAAGCGACGTATGACGTGTATTGAGCTGGGGTACGTAGTCGTATGGCCATGGCGAGGAGGAGCCGCGGGCCTTCGCGGTAGAGATCGCGGCAAGTACGCATCATCGCAGACACACGACCTGAATAGCGATCCGCCGCCATCGCCGTTATGACGAGGCAGAGTATGTCATGGTTCAGTTTCTGGGGGTGGGTGTCATGGATCGGCGTCACTGGCGAGGTTGAACGGGCATCTATTGCATAACAAAACTTGATGAGAAGCGGCAGGTAGACGCAACGGAGGGAGCACACACATGACGACTGCATAGCGGAACAATGTACCAGACGTGATGAGAGGACGCGACTTGCGACACTGTAGACGTGGTTCGCGCAGTGGATCAAGCTACGATAAGCTATATTGGGTGTGGGAGACAGCGCTACGCTATGTGCGCTAACTGTCGCGGCCTACCGGATACTCAACCGTGACTATGTAAGACTCAAGCTCAAACATATAAGACCTGCCTGACGAACTGGACGCCAAACCGATCACAAGCCTCCTGCGCCTGCTTCCACCCAATCGGCTCCTCCCAACCAGTGTGAACAACGATCTTCTTCAGCCGCACCCTCCTGCTCCCGCCCCTCGCTTCCTCCGGCCGCGGCTCCATCCAGCGGCGCAGGCCAGCGGCCACGTTGTACCCCTGGATCGAGCAGAACAGCTTCGCCGGCGGCGGCGCATTGAGCGTGACGCGTTCTAGCGTCTGCGGCGCGTCGATGTACTTCAGGAACAGCGGCGTGTCGAGCTGCAGCTCGCGGAGCTGCGGGAATATCTGCGCGAACGCGGCCCGGAGGCACTCGGGCGCGTGGCTGCTGGTGGACGCCCAGCCGCACCCGGGGCACGTCCGCGTGCGGAGGAAGGTGAGCGACGGGAGTGGGAACGGCGTTACGCCGCCGAAGTTGCGATGGCCATTTGGAAGGTTGAACCGCTCCTGGTCCAAGTCGAAGTCGAGGTGGAGGTGCGTGAGGTGGGGGAGGCTTGCGAGCAGGCTGTAGACGGCCTCCGTCGCGACGCCCACCCGCCTCTTCTCGAACGAGGAGTAAAGTGTGACGGAGGTGACGACGTCCAAGATGGGGCGCAGCGACATACGGCTGTATTCGAATTGGTAGACTTGTCCCAGCTCCGACAGCAGACGCTGCGCGTCCATACGAACGTGAGCCCCCGCGAAGCGTTGTGCGACAGTACGGGGTGGTTCTTGGCCGGTTTCCGTGTGCTGCGAGCTTTCGATCTTGGTGAGGATATCGCTGTACAGCGCGCCATCCGAGCACTTTGAGGGGCCTAACGTTTCGAGCATCACGAAGCGGATAGCGACGCGCTCGATGATTTCCGCCAGTGCAGGGTGCGCAGTCTCGAGCAACGCATAGAGATCTTGGCGTTCAGTTGCATCGGCGGTGGATTTCCAAGCCTGGGCGAAGATTTCTTCCACGAGTTCTAGCGGGAGTTGACGCGAGCGGCTTGGTTTCGAGTTATGGGAAGTACCTGGCTTTAACAATCAGTTTCCGCACCTCCTATCTCGTGGAGGCGTAAGCAACCCACCCATACTGGTACAAAGAAGCCGAGCGTCTTCAGTCATGTCTGGTTTTTTTACACCTCCTATGTTGGAAAGGGGGCCGTGAAGTCAGCCACCGAGTTCTGGGGGGCATGGGCGCCTCAGGACTATTTCACGGCGCTCACCTCACCTCGAATAGATCTCACGGAGTAAAAACCTGACGGGGTGGGCAAGGATTGGAGAACGAGTGCAGGAGACGCGATACCTACCAGGTTCGAGTTCAACTTGCAATCTTGTGTCGCGGATGCGAATGCAGTGACGATCCCGTGGGAATGTCGGAGAGCGAACCTGTTGCAATGGAGGCTGGCGGCATTATATACGCGCCTCGCGATAGGCCATAGCTACATATTCCACCTGGACGAGAAGCGGGTTCAGCTGTGTACGGAGTGGTTGAAGGTCCTGAGAAAGGAGGCTCTCGAAGACGAGTTGATGTGCGCCAGGACGCCACGAGGGTGCGCACGATGACGCGCCCGCGGGCGCCTAGATTTGCGGGCAAGAGTGATCGAACCTCAACCGTACTCTCTTGATCACCGTCCTCCACGTCCTACCCCGCACCCACCCCGTACCGCGACTAGCTGCACTCCTCGACTCGCAACACCCATCATGGTGAGCTCGCTGGCCTAATGCAAGTCGTCGAACTGTCGCTCACCGCGCACCGACTACAGACCAACTGGGAAGTCCGTCTCTCAAGCTCGCGCGGCGTGCCGTACTTCTACAACACCGACACGCGCGAGTCGATGTGGGAGGCCCCGCCGGACCTCACCCAGGAGCAGATCGCCGCCCTTCCTGGCTCGAAGGAGTACCTTCCTGGCGCGCACGGTGACGCGGGCGGCGTCCGCCCCGCACAGGTCCGCGCCAGCCACCTCCTCGTCAAGCACAACGGGAGCAGGCGGCCGAGCAGCTGGAAGGAGGTACGTCGCTCTCTACCTACCCATCCCCCTGTGCATCCGCCCTCTTTGCTATAGCGAGGACGCGCGGGTGGGGAATGAGACGTGCTGATCAAGCCCCTGCATACAGCCCAACATTACGCGCTCAAAGGAGGAGGCGATCCAGATCCTGAAGGGATACGAAGCGCAGATCAACAGCTCTCCAGAGAAGTTCGCCGAGCTCGCGTCCAAGCACAGTGACTGTAGCTCGCACTCGCACGGCGGCGACCTTGGATTCTTCAAGCCGGTATGTCACCTCCTTCTCGCAGTTCTGCATCGAACCGATTGGTGCTGGGCGTGGGATACAGGGCCAAATGCAGAAGCCATTCGAAGACGCGACGTATGCGCTCAAGGTCGGCGAGATCAGCGATATCATCAGCACCGAGAGCGGCGTCCACCTCATCCTGCGCACCGCATGATTGTTCAGGGCCCTGGCCGAGGAATATAGGAACTTAAGGTAGATGAGAAGAACTACGGTTTGTTGTTGTAACATATATGCGGTTCATATATGCGGTTCTCATACGGAACCCGATCGTTGACATACATTTGACATCTCCTGTTCACTGCGAACCGCCCAGACCTCAGCGATGATGATCAATGTCTCTACAGTATAATGTACAGGTATACAAGCAGACGCGCAACAACGCTTCGAGTTTGCTTCGAGTCTATCAGTCCACATCCAAGTGTCCGAATATGTCCAAGGAGTCGGGGAGTTCAAGCAGCCTCAAACGAGATCGTGCCCCTGCATGTCCTCGTATCTCTTCGGGTTGATATCGGACTTCGTCTTCTCGGCAACGTCGCGATCGAAGTTCCACGAGGCTTTCAGGCCGACCCTCTGCGTCCGCAAGGTGAGTTGCACTGTTCGCGCGCAAGGATAGCAGACGTACCTCGAAGAAGTCCTTGATCTGCCAATCCCCACAGTGGTCGAGGTCGGTGCCTTGGTCCCGCAGCGCAGCGTACGACTTCTCCATCGCGATCGCAGCGGGAACTAGTGCCATCCGGTCAGTCTTCAACATCTCAGAGATTACGAAGGAAGATGACAGACTAAAGCCAGTGCACGGGTAGATCGCGAGCTTGAAGCCAAGGCGTTTGCAATCGTCGACGGTGTAGTTGCCTGTGAGCCCATTCGGGAGCACGTTGATCATGCACGGGTGAGGCGCGAGCGCCTTGACGAGCCGTGCAGCCTCGTCCTTGGTGCGCGGACTCTCCATGAAGGCGACATCTGCACCAGCATCGAGCGCGGCTTTCAGCCTGCACCACCAACCGCATCAATGAACACCCTTCCACCAACAGCGGAAAACCCTCACCTCTTCACGCCCTCCTCAAACGCCTCCTCACCCGCCTTCTCACCCCCAAACGTCGACGCGTTCCTCGCATCCGTACGCGCAATAATCACAAAGTCCGGGTTCTGCCTCGCCGTCACCGCTGCCACGATGCGCTCCACATACGTCTCCAGATCCACCACATCCTTCCCCGCGAGCTGCCCACACCGCTTCGGGAACGTCTGGTCCTCGATATGGCAGCCCGCGACGCCGGCGGCCTCGTACAGCGCGACCGTGCGCGCGACGTTCAGCGGGCCGCCGAAGCCCGTGTCCGCGTCCGCGACGACGGGCGCGCCGCACACGTTCACGATCATGCGCGCGGTGTCCGCGAGCTCGACGGACGTGATCACGGAGAGGTCCGGCTCGCCGAGCACGGAGCCCGAGGCGCCGCTGCCCGCGAGGTAGAGCGCGTCGAAGCCGGCGGCGTTCGCGATGTGTGCGGAGATGCCGTCGAACACCCCGGGGCAGATCACGCAGTCCTCTGTGCGCGGGGCGAGAGGGTGAGGATGACGTCGGCTGAGGGGGTTGGGGTACGTACTCTCTTTCATGAGCTGCCGCAGCTTCTTGGGCTGGTTGGTCTTGTACGAAACGGGAGTAGTCATCTTGGAAGTATTGGTGGGTGCTCTGCGTGTGTTGTGTGATATAGAGCGAGCAGAATTTTGGGTCCGTTGCAAGTTCACGGGGCCTTCTAGAGAGCACTGTATATATTCTGGCCCAGGAATTGTCGTGTATGTTATTTTTGGAACATAGCGGGGCCCTGGAGAGGATAGGTGATGTCCTCCAGGGAGCAGTGGCGGAATATGCGTCACTATGACATATGGGCTTGTTATCGTGCTCTATCTCATAGTATACTCGTCGCTGGCCCCGAGCGGCATACAAGTGGAACCGTACAGCATCTAGGATTCCACTATGATGATGGTCAGGGTCTCGACTGCATGGAATCATTACCACGCTAGATGCCAATCGACCCAAGCAGCTCATCCTGCTTCAGGATTGTAAGTACATGCATGGTTACAATGTAGCATTTGCGAGAATACACTCAAAAGTATGCCGCGGCGGCGACTGGGTGGTACATTAGTCTGGGCGCAAATGCATCCGAGGGATTGATCGGATCTCGATCTCCCAGCCCTCCTCCTGGACGACCACCACCATCTCCACTGAACGTCCAACGCGAAGCCTGGCTTTCTCTGCGTGCAGTCACAGGCTACGTATACGTACTAAAGCAAAGTATCCCTGGTCTTCAACCGCAACACGCACAATCGTTCCACACTTACACGAGGAACGCGGGTGTCGGCGATTATCTATCCAGCGGCGTGAATATGATGGGCCCATGGTGGACTGTACCAATACTGAGACTCTTCTCGACGCGAGGTGTAACTAGTACTATGTAAGAAACACAATACTTGCATTCCGAAGGAATTGATTCCAACAGGCTCCGAATCGTCCATAGCCCCGAGACCGAACCCGACTCCGTTGGGCCTCTGGCGGTCCTATTTGGCCTCGCATCTCTGCACGCGGCAGGACTCGCTCTCGCGCGGCTCAAGCAGAGGCTGCCAGATGCACCTCGGAACAAAGCATGGCTGCCCGACGATATCCTGTATGAGGTCTTCTCCTACCTCGATCCAGCAGACGCTGCCCAGGCAGGACTCGTTTGTGCGCAGTGGCACCGGAACGCCGCACAGGCATCCTACAGGGAGGTTTCCCTCCATACCTCCTCACGCTTCTCGCGCTCGCTTGCCCGTACCCTCCTGAACAACCCGCGCCTCCGCCGCTACGTGCGCCATCTGGCCGTTGTCCACTGCGCACCAATGCCCCAGGAGCACCTATACGAGTGGGTATATCTCCTGCCGCCCTTCTCGTTGAAGGCTTTCCGTATCTTCGGCCTCCCCGAGCCCACCGAGAAGCTGCGGAGCGCTGTTGTGGTCGGTACAACACCTATAACGGAGATCGCACTGTTCGGGTATAAATTCTCTCAGGAGGTCCTGCTCGAAGGCAACTCATCAGTGGACGACCCCGCGCGGAGGCGATGGTTGATCGGAATGCTCGGCGAGGGCTGGCAGCTGGGCGAATTCCTCCGTGTGGGATCGTCTGCCAATGAGAGGCTGTTGAGCAGGACCTCTTTGGAGTATTGATACCCGAACAATGCGAACTCCGTGCTAGGTGTCGTGCCTACCACGACACAGGCGCTCCTGGGAGTATGGTGCGCAGTGCACGACGGTTAGATAGAACATGTGCCGGCCATCAGCAAAACGGGGACTTGGCTACATCCTGCGATGAGCAATGTAGTGGGCTAGAAGCGCCTGACGCAAAGTTAGACGCTGGTAGTCCGCTGTAACATCCTGCCTTTCCGGCCGCAGGACTACCGTACTCAATAATATTGGACTGTCAGATGTAGTGTCCTGTAACTACTAGGTATCAATGCCTGCATGATAAAATGCATTATAGCTCACACAGTTTCAATGCGAGAAGCCCGTGAAAGCGAGCACTCCAGGTCAGCAGCCGTGCACCCGGTGCACCTCTCGCAGCGCGTGGGAACAGCTCGCGCGGCCGAGCGAGAGCGTGGAACGCGATATATGCGGCTATGACATTAGAGACGCGGGTACCATGACACATCGATCTCCTCGTTCTCATCATCGTCCGACCCCTCCCCGTCCGCGTCCAAACCATCCCCGTCCGCGTCCGAACCCGCCGCGTCCGCGTCCGAACCTGCCGCGTCCGCTTCCGAACCCTCTCCCACCGAGCCCGAGCCCTCTGCATCGGCGCCCAAGCCGTCCGCGTCGTCCTCGTACCCAGCTGCTGCCTCCCCCAAGTTCCGAGCGATCATCCAGTCTTGGTGCTCTTCCAGAGCGCGGTCGTGGCAAGTGTCATCCCACGTGATGACATCTTCCTCGACGTGCTCGTCGGAGTCCTCCGCGCCGCTGTCGGATCCACTGGCTGGAGGGTCCTCGGGCGCGTCGTCCATGTAGCTTACCATGGAGTGCGCGGCATGGCTACTCTCCGACTCGGACTCGGTTGTCTCGTCCGAGTCAGGCTCCGAATCCGCGCGCTTGTTGCGACGGCGAGATTCCGAGGGGCGCTCGATTCGCGTGCCGTGAAGACGCGAAGTTTCGAGTGAAACACCGACGCCGCGGTGGCCGACACCACCGCCGAGATGGCGCATGAACATATCACGATCAACGAACCTATAGTACTCATGATTAGTGCGCGACCAGACTGCAAGGACACTGTACACATACATGGACACGAAGTAATACACGTAGTCTTCATCTTCCGAGTTCTGGCGTGCGACGGAGTCAGATGGGAGGTAGTCGTCCGTGGTTCCCGAGTCGAAGCTGGGCATGATGTGGGCGCCTCGTAGCACATCTGCGGGATCGACGAATCCGAACGCATTGAGATCCGGATCGTCGTCGGCAACGAAGGCCAAACGGGGTATCTGACGGTGTTGGAATCCGGCGCTGTAAGTAGGGTCGCGCGCAAACCAGCGCACCCAGAGGAAATCCATCTGGCGCCATGCTCGGCTCGTCGAACCGGGACCCCTGAATCGCACGTTTGCGTGGTAGACTCCCACGACGCGAGCGTACCAGTATGGAAAGTCGTCAGTGTGGTTGTCCTCGGCGAGAAGGATGATGTCGGCGTGCGTGCGGGGGTTTAATGAGTCCTGCGCGCGGCGCATGTCGTATGTTGGGTAGTTGAAGCACACGACCTTGTGCGAGTAAATACGGTCGTCCTTGATGTCGAGGGAGTTCGTCCAAGCGTCTGGTATTGAATTCTCATCCTTGCCGGTCAACCTGGCGAGGATATGCCGTCGCAGCGACGGCAGGAAGTCCTAGGATAGCAGTCAGTTCGGGCCGTATGCAAGCAGCTCACATTGTCGTACCTTGAGCGCGACATCACCGTCGTTGTCAGCCAGCCATTCATACAGGTCCACGGGGTCACGTTGAGATTGCCCCATATCATAGCGCATACCCATGTCCGCAAGTCGAGGTTGGTGTGCGGCCGCAGTCGCCTGCGCGCGGCTCTGTGCGGCTCGAGAGGTGCTGGTGCTGTGCGACTTCGAGTGTGTCGCACGCGCACCCTTCAATGACTTACGATGCTTGTCGGCAAGCCCAGGACGTTCGCGCGCGCGCACTTCTAGTCCCGCACGGATGCCTCGGAGCAGCGCCTGGCGGCGCTGATGAATGCCGATCTGTTTCTCGAAATGATGTTTGTTTGTGCGAGCGTACACACGTTTGGCGTGTCGATGTTCCAATTCGCCCTGTCGCTTGCATGTTAGCCTTGTCTCGAATGCTGCACAGGTAGTTACTTACCACTAGTGTGTTGTGGTTGTCTGTGGTCCCCGAGCGCTCCACATAACTCGGATGGTGACCGAGCGCGTGATACTTGTAAGTCTTCCAGGTTCTGTACTTCACAATGCGCGGTCCAGCGTCACGGTGTGGTGCTTTGCGGATGCCCTTGGTCGACTTTTGTGCTGCCTGCGCACGACGTGCACGGGCGAGAGTCTCTTGCGGGAGCTCCAGGGTTATGTGGCGTCGACAAGTGGTCCGCGCGAACTTGCGCACGGATGCGTACATGAAGCGTGTGGATGCGCGCCAGATCACCAGGCTAACGTCAGTTTGTAATCGTAACTTCGCGCAGGAGAGCCACCAGCTGTGGTAGTCGTAATGTATTATAAACCGTTCATAAGCCCGCGCCGCATTACATTATAAACCGTTCCGGTTCGTAATGTATTACGAACACCCCGGGGGCCCGAGGCATCTGCCCGGCACCTACCAAATATGGCAGGCAGCCCCGGAAGCGCTGTTATCAATGCCCGGCACTGTGCCCTGGCTTATCTCTGCTAGATAACAGCTTTATCTCATCAATCCGACCTTCCCGGACATCCTGATGGCCCCGCCCACCGGCGCTTTGGCTCCCGCCCCGCCACATCCCAATTAGGAAGGTGTACTAAACACCTCCCCCTAGGGCACATTGCCTGGCACATTCCTTGCTTAATACTGGGCGCATTAGGCTCGTTCCGGGCGCGTTTTGCTCGCATTTATTAGCGCTACAAGACGATGCAAA